CATGTGAGTCTGTATTGGTCATCTTAATGTTATTGATCATAAACCTAATTTTGGCCCCCAGTCAAATTTTATTAAATTAAGACAGAAATTAAGTGATTTTTTGATCTAGTGCGAGAAAAATATAAACATCAACGATAGCATTAAATCCAGTTATTCGAGATGTCGCCGCTGGGCGAATTAAGAATCTAGGGCTCTATACCTACATAAGATTTGAATTTATGATGTTCTGATCTGGTTGATCTTTTTTCATTTATTATTGTAGGATCTACTCTCAAGGATCCTTGACACCTGACTAGGCACATCCATTATAGACTTTGCAGTGATGGAAGCCTCATACAATGGATTGCCCAATTTGGCTTGAGTTAAAATGGTGTTAGGGATACTTTGTTGAGATCTCTTCTTGTGGGGAATACTGCATTGTTGATCCTCATCGGACTAATTGTGTGGGAAGCTTGTGGACCGGACTGCTTATGCCCACTAAGGATATAATAGGGTATAGAGACAAATTGTTGTGATTTGTATTTGGGCATTAATTTCTTACTTCACATGGAAAAGAAAAGAATAGATCTTAGGATACTAAGGGTTTAAAATTCGTGTCATGTCAATGACTATATTAAGTTTGACTATAAGTAACGAAGAATAAGGCTATGTTTGAGGAAATATTGTAGCTGAGGATTTTTCAATTGTGCTAAATGAAATCGTGGACTAAATTATTCTTTTATCTGTGATTGGTTTATTTTTTTTATGCAATCTGTGGTTGGTATATAGATAAATTGTTGTGATTTGCATTTGGGCACTAATTTTTTACTTCACATGGAAAAGAAAAGAATAAATCTTAGGATACTAAGGCTTGAAAATTCATGTCATATCAATGACTATATTAAGTTTGACTATAAGTAACAAAGAATAAGGCTATGTTTCAGGAAATATTGTAGCCAAGGATTTTTCAATTGCGCTAAATGAAATCATGGACTAAATTATTCTTTTATCTGTGATTGGTTTATTTTCTTGATGCAATCTGTGGTTGGTATAGAGATAAATTGTTGTGATCTGCATTTGAGCACTAATTCCTTACTTCACATGGAAAAGAAAAGAATAAATATTAGGATACGAAGGCTTGAAAATTGATTGGCATATCAATAACTATATTAAGTTTGACTATAGGTAAAAAAGAACAAGGCTATGTTCAAGGAATATTGTTGCTGAGGATTTTTCAATTGTGTTAAACGAAATTATGGACTAAATTATTCTGCAATCTGTGGTTGGTTTATTTTCTTGATGAATTATGAATACTTAACCTTTAGATGATTCCTTATATGATCCAACAGGGAAATAAGAGAAAGATAATGGCTGCCTGTCTTTTTCTGTCATGATTAGCAATTGTGTTCTGTTATAAAATAAGTTATGTATGGTGAAAAATTGAGCTTTAACCAAAGTGAAAAGCTGGAGCTCATATGTGGACAGATTAGTTCTTGGCAAATGAAACACTAGTAAGTGAGAAACGCCACTTGCCAGATTTGTTGTTTGAAAAGAAGAATTCCGAAACTTGAAAGGGGCAGGACATCAGAACCGATAGATATCAGTGTCATCAGCAACATAGTTGAGTCTGCAAACACCCATCACCATTCTTACCTTTAAGACATGAGTGTTGAGAAGGTTTCCGATGAGGATGATATGTTTCTTTTGACAATTTAAGTGTTGATATTGCTTTGGTTTTTTATGTTCAATTTTTGTAAGACCCTTTTTATTGGAGTTTTTTTTTTTCTATTCATGGTAGCTTTTGTTGGCACCATTTGCAAAATGCTCAAATATCAATGTGAGATTTTGATAAATGTAGTCACAATAGTTATCAAGATACATAAAGAACTATCTAGAGTAAAAAAAAAAAGGTCGAATATATTTGGAGTCTTGCATATAATTTGCTCATCAAAGTGTTTTTTATGGGTTAAAAACCATCTGTTGTGCCAGATATTACTAAATATACATAGATCTTTCTTAATCATCTTGAAAATGAATGAGCAGGTATCATATGAAAGGTCCATTCCCAGACAAGGGAGCTGAGAGATACAAGCTCTGGTACTCCTTAATCCTGGTTATAACTATGCAGTAATTTTTTTTTTTCTTCTGCTAAATGACATGGTATCCGGTGCCTTTCATTTGGTTTTGTTTTCCATCATGACAATTATGGGACGATGGGTCTTAGAGGTTGAATGATTTATATGGCCCAATGAGCATGTGTTAGATCAAACCTCGGCCTCGATTCATTGGGTTAATGTCATGCTCAAACTTGGTATATAAACAAAACTTTTAACGAGCTGATGCTCATGAACAGGCGGTATGACTCATTTAAAACCGTAGGATTTCCCAAACCCTACTATTATTCGTTCCAATGATCAAAACTTGTACAGTCCTTGGAATAGCCATATGCCTCATACTTGGAATCATAGAACATAGAGAAGAAGAAAGAAAAAAGAACCCAAGCTGCTGCTTTTTAAACGACTCGCTACTCGAGCAAAAAAGATAAAAGGTAACCCAGTCCAAATCCAGATATCACGCTTGATCCATCTTTCTCATCTTTGACCTTTTGGAAAAACACTTGATCCATCATTGTCATCATAGACCCTTTTTTAAAGATATGGGGGCAGAATCACCTCCATTGGATTTGAGCTCGGAACCGAGGCCGAGGCCGAGGCCTCAGTGTGCATCACCATTTAAGCCTCTTAGAATGTATTGAGAATTAACTGGCCTCTGTCGGCCTCGCTCCTTGAGTACGAGATTTCTAAAAGGGACCAAGTTGATTTTGTTAGCAAAATTTGTGCCGGTTAAGGAGTCGGTAGGTATAAATATGTGAGAGATCCCCACCGAATGGAGAGGTCTGGAAGCTGCCTCTGAGCAGTACCAACAAGCTCATCATCGACGTGACCATGGTTTCCTTTGGAACCTGAAAAGAGTACAGCAGCCCTTTGAACAAAAGCAAAAAGAAAAAAACAGAATCTCCTTTGCAGGTACAAACATTTTGCTCAACACACCTTTCTTCTCTCCTTTTCAGCTACTTTTCTTCCCCCACTTTTTTTTTTTTTCCATTTTCCGTTGAAAGTTTGAATGAATAGACCGTTGCAAGTTATCCATGTAAGTTTTTTTTTTTTTTCTTTCAGTATTCGAAATCTCTCTTTCTCAAGCTGATTACGAAGTCTCTTACCTATAGCTTTCGATTTTGTTTCACTCGTTTTATGTCTCATCCCTTTTTGTTGGATTTTGATATCGTTAGCTCTCCATAAATCTAGTAGCCATTGATCAAGAGGGGATGAGAGGATGTTAACGACTGTGACGATAGAGAGAAAGATATCATAGAAAAAGAGAAGTGGAGGTGAGAGTGACAAGCAACAAAAAGGGGCGATGGCGAAGAGGAAGTAGTCTAAGGAAGAGCGAGGGGAGGCAAGGGTGGAGAAAGGGGAGAGGTGAGTGTGACAAGATAAAGATGATGTGCGGAGGAATAAAGACAATCATGATAGAGTGAATGCAATGACCGATGGGACGAAGGCTAGAGGCACTTTCGTCTCTTATAAAGTAAAGGATGTTATATGAAAATAAACAAAAAAAAAGAAAATGTTTAGAGAAAAAAAATAAAAAATTAGTATTTATTTGAAAATTTTGCCCTAGTTTTATCCCTTCAATTTTAATGTGTGGCTTTATCCCTATAAGAAGATAGATTATTTTTATAGCTTTAAATTTTGGTAAATACGGAGAATTACTGATGGCATAAGATGAATGTGATGCATAGTAAATTTGAGGTAAAAAATTTGAATGGTTTGACCGGTCCAGCCAATGGCAATAATGTCACCAACCCCTGGAACAAGAGGAGGACATGCCTTGTTGTCCTGGCCATCAAATTTAAGAGCAGCAGAACAACCCACATTCCCCATCAGTTGAATGAGGCTGTGAGCCTGTTTGCTAAGTCTCCTACTCCTACTCAGCAGCAGTCAACTTGAGCACCGCAAGATCTAACTTTGGATCCCCTCACAACACCAAATCTTTCAAGGATTCACCCGACACGGTGGGATGACTGCAGCAGTTGGACCTGAAGAGATAAGCCCGGTTCACGCACCAGACATTTGACAGTGGAAGAGCTGCACATGGGAAGCACAGAGAAGCTCAAATCATTGTTCTCTTCTGAGTGATAACACTTCACTGTAATGAGAAAACCCCCCCTAACAACATGAGTTCTCTGTTTGCATCTCTGAGTTCATGACCAAGTCAGCTGAAGAAGCCAGGAGAGCAGTCTTTGGTACAGAGAAGCTGCCCTAAAGTGAGGTAGAGTGATCCACGATCTGGCCGCCAGTTGGGTGACGAAGAACTTTACAGCTGCTAAAGATGAAATGGAATGCCTTTATGGAATGCATTGCTGTGGCAAAAGCTGTTGGGTTTGAGTGCTGCGACTCTCAATCTGCAGTCTTGGCACATTGAACCAGTGAACTCATCTTTTGAGGCAAATGTGCTCACGGCTTGGAGAAGAACCATCTCTGCAGTCTTAGCACATTGCATCTGAGAGGAATCCACAGATCATTCCTTGGAAGCAATAAGCTGAATCGAGTCTTATCATATGAACTGAAGAATTCCCTATCCTCCCAGTATTCACCAGAACGGAGGCTGAACTCCAATTTGAGATCCTTGCCAGGTTCCTTCTCATAGCTTCTTTGATGGCTTCCAATGCAATGAACCATACTGGGGAGACTCATGCTGCAAGGCTTTTTAGCTTTGCTGAATCATGCATGCCAACCAAATCTCAAAAGCTGCAATGGGCAAACATGGAGCTAATGATGGAAGTCGAATTCCTAGTGGCAGACACATGATTGAAGAAGACAAGAACAGATGAACATTAAACTTCCAAATGACAGCAAGGAAGTAGGATTTGTTGCTAAGCTTTAGGAAACAAATAAATGCATAGGAAAACTCGAACTGATGCTGAACTTTCATGACAAGCTATCAGAACAAAGGCAATATGACAGACAAACTGTGTACAGATAATTTACAGAAAACAAATTCGATTCCAACAGAACAACACAGGTCTACTAAGATGAAATACAAAACTGTAAGCAGCTGGGAATTGAACTCTCCATGAAATCAACAACAAATGGCACTTCAAAAGATTCAGTTTATGATCATTCATCTTCTGTTCTTCTAGCATCGAAGTTCTCAGATGGAATCAGTAGAGCTCTTGGTCTTATATCTATAGAGGAGCTTCTTCTTTTTAGAGCTGGTGTTGCCCACCGTGAGAACCACCTTGCCGGCGTCCCCAATCTTGAAACTGTCCTTCACCACCGGGTCATTGATCGCGACCAGCTTCCTCGCCTTCTGCACGATCACTGTGTATCCATCTTCTGCGGTGGGCGCAAACTCAGCACCATAGCTGACATCCCAGCCTAGAACACGAAGCTCCCAGACGAGAAGGCATGGCTGTAAATAGCATTTCGATCAAGAGTCATGGCTAATGGGTAAGCAGTTTGGAAGTGGAAGAAAACGAAGAAGAAGAAGCTCCCTACCTCAGTAACTAGAATTTCTATAGCTTGCTTCATTGATGGCTTAATGGTGATCTCCGTTGCAGCATCGGAAGTGCTGAAATCTGGGTCGTTCTCCTTGCTAAGGCCTCCAAACTGAACTGGGACTTGCTCAGGAGCAATGTATCTGGAAGATCCAAAAGCACAAGAGAATAAAAATCTTGAAGCAGCAGTCAGATTCAGCTTAAAACATTGGAGAAACTCGGGGAGAAGATTACTAACTTGAAAAGGGTCTCAGCTGATTTAGATGGCCCTGCGAAAACAAACTTGCTCTTGGTCCTCTGTGTGAAGAAGGGGCTAATCATCCGGTTGAAAGCCAGGTACCACCATGGGACATTGATAAATACCTATCAAAGGCAACTCGCTTTGTGAGTCTTCCAAGGACAGATTCAATAGACATGGCCATTAAGCATTGTCCAACTCAGATCTTGCGAGTAATGTGTTAAAGCTTCATGTTTTTGGACAGATGCAGAAAGAAAGAAAGAAAAAAACTCATCTTTCACAAGTGATCCCAACGCATTCATCAAAAGATTGGATTTTGATAAGAATCCTTCTACTTGGTGTTGGAGCAAAAAGAATGGCATGAAGTTGGAGTCAGTCAAACTTACCTGCTTGGCCGCAAACTCAGGATAATTGTCTTGAAGCAGGTCGAGAGCCTGGCGGAGCTCCTTCTTCGCCAACCCGATCGAGTTCTTGAGATCCGTGACTTGAACCATGGTTGATACCCCTTCCGGATTGAAGTCCAGCATGTTCCTTATCCCCTTCTCCAGGTACTGAATCCTCCATCGCAAGAATTGCTTCCGCTTCTCTTCGTCGGCGAAGGCCGCAGCGTAAAGCTCCTTGTTTTGGAACTCCCCGTAGACGTTGTAGCACACAGGGTGGCCCTCCTTGTCGATGCCGTGCATGAACACCACCTTCTCCATCTCCGGGATGCCAAGGTCCTCGTTGAGGAGCTCCTCGATGCCGAACTCCTTCCTCCAGAGCACGGCGTTCTTGAGCATGGTCATGGCTTCCTTCACCTTGAAGTCCCGGGCGCGGAGGAACTTGAGGAGAACAGTGTCGCTCCTCTCGTCGCCGAGGAGCGGGACGCCCCATATGAAGATCTCCTCTGCCGGCGGCAGAGACGGCGCGGCGGCTGCAGGAGCAGCTGGTTTCTCGTTTTCCTTCTCCTTCTTCGGGGATTCTGCCGCCGGCGCATCGTCTACTGCAGGTGGTGGAGCGGCGACGGGCACGACGGTTTCCTCTATGGCCTCGACGGTCTTGGCTCCGTCGTCATCTCCTACGACGGCGTTCTCCTCCGTCGTCGGAAGCGTCGGAGCTGGCACCTCGGCCTCTTCCTCCTTGATCGATGGGGCCGGCTCTTCCACCACAGCCTTCGGAGATTCCACCACGGCTGTAGTAGCGGTTTCTTCTTCAGCCTTAACCTCCTCCGCTTTGGAGGTAAGCTCCTCCGTCGGCACGACGGCGGCATCGGCTGTGGCGGGAGCCGGCGGAGCCGGAGCGGGAGGAGGAGGAGGAGGGGAGAACTCCTTATTGGAGAGGGCAGCCCGGACGAGCTGCTTGAGCTCGTCGAGGGCCTTTTTCTCGGGGTCCTCCCGATCAGCCGCAACAACGCTGCTCTCCTTCGCCTCCACCTCCTGCACGGCGGCCTTCTTCTCCCCCGCCTCCTCCTCCGCCTCGGCAGCCAGCGCCGCTTCCAAAGCTGGTTTCTTGCCCGGTGTGTCCGCCTCAATGGCAGCCTCTGGCGACGTCTCTTTGTCGACAACCTCCTTCTCCGCCGACAGCACCTCAGCGACGACAACCTCTTTAGCGGGTGCCGCCTCTGGCTCGTCGGGTCTGGTCTCCATGGCCATCGCTGCGTGAGAGAGAGAGCGAGAGAGAGAGAGAGAGAGAGATAGTAGAAGTAGCAGTGCAGCGGGCTGTGTGACGAGTTAGCGGCTCGCAGGAGTCACGTATATAGACACACGCGCGAGGCAAGAAGAGGGGAAGAAGACCGCAGTGTCAGAGTCCGTTGATGACCACTTGTGGTGGGACCCAAACCAGAGGTGGAAGACAATTAATTATCTAAGAGGGAGATTAATAGATTTCCAAGTTCAAAAAAAATTACCGCCGTTGCCATATGACGTGCTTCTTACGTCGGTGCGTGTAATAAAAGTCGTTGCACGTGCGACCGGTCAACCACTCGCTCTTCTCATTTCGACCTGTTTTTTCTTTTTGCACGATTTACCAAAAAAGAAGTCTCATATTTTAGATTTTTTTTTCTATTTTTAATAATGCCCCAAAGAGTTATTTCCTTCTTCTTGTCATCGTTGAGAGACAGGGAAAAAAGAAGTTAGACAAAGCAAAGACAGCAGTGAGATTATGGATTCCTTGGAACAAAATCCTGAGTTAGTCAGGCATTTAGACAATCCTTAAAACATGCCTCCTATCATGCTACAAGAAATAATACATGAACTCATGAAGCATGTATGCTTGTGAGCAATGATTGAAAGGTAGGGTCTGTAAGCAGTAGGTGCAAGAAAAGATGTTGATGACAAGATTAAACAGCCTGCTCCAGCAGCATACTAAGCTGGAGTCATGGAACTCCAACACAATAAAGTCCTGTAGTCCTACAGAATCCAGTTGTCACTGGTTCCATTAAACACCAGTTGTTTAGGAATGCCTCAAGAACATGATTGGTGACCTACATATAGGGAATCATGTTGAGGAGTGGTTTAATGTAGGAGACCTAATGGCAGCATGATTAGTCCAACCTTTGTGGGGACTAGCCAGCTCTGTTCTCCTCTTCATTGCCCTTCTCTGGTATCTCCTCAATCCATCAATCTTGTAGACAAGTAGCCATTAGAGACTCTGCAGAACATGGCTGCAGCAGAGAAGGTTTGAACCTGCGGATGATAGATTGGTCCATCTTTCAGTGATCAAGATATCCTACACAATTGATGAGGCCTGCTGTTGTAGAAAACTGCAAGAGTACATATTGTAGCACAATTGATGGAAAGATGAGAGAAGATTCAAGTAATCTGCATAAGACTTGCATGGCCAACCAAATCAATAGGTACTTGGAATATATAAGAAGTGCAAGTATCAGAGCCTCAATACTTTACATCCAATAAAATGAAAGTTAGAGAAAGTCTTAGCTTATGTTAAGACTACCAAATACAGATAGATGCCTTAGAAAAGTTACCACTGCATGGATAAAATTTCTTGTCAAGACTTTTATGATCTGAGGAGAGTAGAAAGGGGAATGGCGTGTTGTATTTTTGAATCTAAGAGGCATGAGACAAAAACATTTACATATTATTAATGGTCCTATCTTCTAAGCCAAATAAAAACAAAAATGCATACATTGGATGCTTCAAATTCTTAATGACTTTGTTTTATGTAAGAAGTTCCGAGATCCAAAGCATTAAAATATGTAGTCCTTTGCCAAGTCTATTAGCATACTATAATGTGCCATATGTGATTGTTAAACAAATTCAATTAAAATGAGTTATAATTTTTCTATACATCCTGTTGTCATCTTGTGATCTCCAATTTAACCTAGTAAATGACATACTCAATGAAGCAAAGAACATGTGAATTAACTCATCAAGCATCCCAAATCTTCTAGTAGCCATAGGGGAACCATTCATGTCCACAGAGGAGTGCAAGAGAAAGATTGAAGCATGGAGGACTCCACAATTAGATTTCTTGGAATTGTTGTAAGGAAGGATCGAGAGGCCCAAATGAGGCCCGGCCCATATATCGTTACAGTTGCGTTGGGCACGAGAATCGCACGTGAGCCCAGGCCCAGCTCCACAGTTCTTGGCCCTACCTTTGAGCACGGGAATTGCACGTGGCCTCTCCCCCGATCCCTAATTCGTGCCTGCCTTGCTTTTAAACTGTTCCCAGCATTCCTGCGCTCGGTCCGTTCGACCTCCACCCGCCGCCGGAGCCGCCTCTGCTCGTCGGCCGCAACCGTGGAGAGCCATCCCGATGGAGGATATAGAGGACTTGGTGGGCGCCGGAGCTCCGCCCGGGCTCCGCCTTCCTGTAACCGCCGTCGGCATCAAACCTAAGAGGAAGCCGAAAGCTCGCCTCGTGCGTGACCCCGTCGACCCCGGCCCGCAGGTTCCGGGCACACAGGTTCTCAACCCACCTCTGTCTCCGTCCCTTTCTCTCTCATCATCTCTTTTTGCTCATGTGTTCTCTTTTGTTTGATATAGACGATATATGTGAAGACGTTCGGGTGTTCGCACAATCAGGCAAGCTTTTCGTGTACCTTGATTTGGTTTTTGATTCTTTCTCATTAGTGTGTGTGCAAGGAGATCCAAATGGCGTAGAATTTCGGCGCTACATGATCAAATTTCCTATTTGTATGCAACTTGAGTGTTTGTTTGATCTCATCATTTATCAGTAAGGGAATACCTATAGGAAAAAAATGCATGTTTTCAGTTCATATTGTTACGAGAGCTTCACTTAGTTTGCCATTCGCCTATCACATTCATCTTGTATCATTAGACTCCTTTGGAAACTATTTTGGGCATAAGTTGGAAGCTCCATGTATGCCTATTCATGTCTAATACCTTATTTGCTAATGAAAGATATGAACTCGAGAATAACACATTGAGACATGACCAAGTTTCTGTCTGATATTGCATCAGTTCGAGTTGACACTGGATGAAACACTCAAACTTGTTATGTAGAGTCCTTTCTTTGCACGAATGTGTCAACGTGAAAATTACAAACAAACTACTATGCAAGATGTCCGAAAAAGTCAAATGAGAGGCTCACGAGACAGTTGCTGATTCACTTTGGAAAATGATGCGGAATGATCGTGAAAAATGTAATCCTAAGTAAAAAATTTATCCTTGCTAAACCGTTATAGGTAAACCTTACATTTGGTGATAATTGCAGTATCGAAGTGTCACCCTTGTTTCTGAACCATTAGCTTCTATTTCCCAGATGTGGTCTTTACTTAAAATTTAATGAATCCTGACCCTTTAGAACACTATCCTTTACATCTTTTTTTGACTTGAAAACTAGGTAAAGCACTTCTCTTCACGATTAACAAGATGTAGTTTTGAAATCACCACAACCAATTGCAGATAACTAGTGGGAGTTTGATGTTATATTTGAATTGCTTATCTTGTCTGCTTCTGTGTTTGCTAAACAGAGCGACAGTGAATATATGGCTGGTCAGCTATCCGCCTTTGGCTATGCAGTGACCGAGGACCCCCAGCAGGCAGACTTATGGCTGATTAATACGTACTTCTCTTCCTCGGTTTTCTTTTATCATTAATTTTCAATTTTTCCTTTCGAACTTAGTAACTGCTTCTTCTTCTGAATGTTAAATAAACTTTAGCTTCATGATAGGCCTGTTAATGTGCATATACATGATGTATTTATATTGGTCATTCAAGGTTTTACTTTCTTTTGCATCTTAAACAAATAATGGATATACTGCAGAAGTCTGAAAAAAGGAAAGACAGATTTTGTGCTGTATTACCTTTGTAGATGGATATATTTGTCTGAGATTGGCACTTTGTCCCCGTGATATATGTAACTAATGCATGTTTTATTCACATCATGAACTAAAATATAGATGGATCTTTTGTTTTATTTTATATGTGGTTATATTTTAGGGCTCAGTTTCATGTACCATTAAGACTTTGTCAAGTTCTTTATTTGCCACTTGGTGCAGATGCACTGTGAAGTCTCCTAGTCAGTCTGCCATGACGACTCTCATATCAAAGTGTAAAACTGCAAAAAAACCTCTGGTGGTGGCAGGATGTGTTCCTCAGGGAAGTCGAGACCTGAAGGAGCTTGAAGGCATTAGCATAATCGGAGTACAACAAATAGATCGTGTTGTTGAGGTTGTAGAGGAGACGCTCAAAGGCCATGAGGTGCGGCTTTTAAGCCGGAAAACATTGCCATCACTAGACCTTCCTAAGGTATTTCTTGCAGGTTTGAATTATGCCTAACATAAGAGCTATTTTCAGGAAGCAAACTTTGCTTATCCATACTTTGTTGGATTTTATTTTGTGCCTGCTGTTGTAACAAGTCATTGTGGTTTTGACTCATTGTCCTATTAATGCGGAGTTGGTGTTCACTTGATCAAATTTTCATTTAGATGGTATTGTGTCTAAGTTTTAACTTTTCTGTGTTCCTGCAGGTGAGGAAGAACAAGTTTATTGAAATTCTTCCAATAAATGTTGGATGTTTAGGTGCTTGTACTTATTGCAAGACAAAGCATGCTCGTGGTCATCTTGGAAGCTACATGGTTGAAAGCCTTGTGAGTTTGCTGAACTGACATGTATCTACAAAATTATTCTCTCAAGATGCCTCTTAAAATCATAATATTTGCAGGTAGAACGTGTAAGAACAGTTATCTCTGAGGGAGTCAAGGAGATCTGGTTGAGCAGTGAAGACACTGGTGCATATGGTAAATTCATGAGATTTGTTTTTGGTAAACAATTTTAGTTAAATATGTGGCTGTTGGTCTTGATTTTTGAACTGAAATTGACTAATATTATAAGTTTACTTTGTGGAAAATGTCAAATATATTAATTACTATATTTCACTAGATTATTGTGAACAAGAAGCATTTCTCTTCTTCTACTTGATCAAATTCAACATTGCACTTCTGTGACAAGGCATAACAATTAGCTGTTACTTTAACTTGGAAAAAAGTCGACAAATATTCTTTTCCTCTGTAAAGGTCTAATTACAAATGACAAATGTTTTTCTTGGTGCATGGTTTGCCTCTAACTGTTAGAAGCAAGTTTTCATGTTTGTTTTGGGTTATTATTTGAACAACATAAAGTGTGGTGAATTATAGAACTTTATTCTTCACATGCTTTTTGCTGATCAGATTGCCTTAGCTATAGCTGAAACTTGCAAAAATTGCAGGTCGGGATATTGGAACAAATCTTCCACTTCTTCTGAACGCTATTATCGCAGAACTTCCTCCTGATAGAAGTACCATGCTTCGCATTGGCATGACTAATCCACCTTATATACTTGAGCATTTGAAAGACATTGCTAAAGTTTTGTGTCACCCATGTGTATATTCGTTTTTACATGTACCTGTTCAATCTGGGAGTGATTCTGTCCTAACAGTAAGTTGGAAAACCATATTTTGTCTTCAAGTCTCCATAAGTAGCAATTTCTCTTCCCTTTTTTCTGTATTTGAGATGTTAATGAGATATACTAAGGTGCCCAAGTCATGACGGTCGTAAAAACCTGATGGGATGTCTTCTGATAATGTCAGGCAATGAATCGTGAATACAATGTCAATGAGTTCAGAAAAGTGGTTGACACTCTGAAGGAACTTGTTCCTGGGATGCAAATTGCTACCGACATAATATGTGGATTCCCAGGTAATAGTTTATTTTGTTTTAGTAGGGTCAGCGATGGACTTCAGATTTTTCTTTATGCATAGTTTTATTGCATGTCTGCTTTTCAGCTGAGATTCTGATTAAATAGTTGAATAGTTGGGAGGGGCCTTAAGATCGTTCGATGTACACCTTTCGAATACCTGCTCTTAGTACTATTTTTTACTGTATTTTTTTTATCTCCACAATACTTCTAAATATTTCCTGCATGTTTTAGGTGAAACTGATGAAGATTTTGCACAAACTGTCAGTCTTATAAAAGAGTACCAGTTTGCTCAAGTTCATATATCACAGTTTTATCCCCGACCAGGTGCGTGTAGACGTCTTAGTAACACTTAACAGTTCATTCATTATTTAGTGGTATATCTTGCTAGTTTATCAGTCAAAGATTTTGTTACAAAATGCCCATAAAAAAATATGAGGACATATTACAAATCACAGTCCTGTGCTTAAAATATTTTTTTAGCATTCTTACTAGCAGATGATTATTATTTAAACTGGGTACCTTGTCTGGTATGTCACTGTACCTGGACCAGTTTCTTTGAGACAAATTACATTATCATTCTACTGAGAAACTAAGATATCCAAATATACGCTGGATACTCGTTATGTACATTTGAGGAGGGAGATTCAGGGATGCTGGTGCAAGTATATGTTTCAATTGTTTCCACAAGCATTGAAGCTGCTAACTTTGGTGGTCATTCAGGAACACCTGCTGCAAGATTGAAGAAAGTCCCCAGCACAGTGGTGAAGAATCGCAGTCGTGAACTAACCACTGTTTTTGAGTCATTTTCACCATACCAGGGAATGGAAGGTCAAATTGTGAGGATATGGATTACCGAAATTGCTACTGATGGAATTCATTTGGTAAGTCAGCCATCTTATCCCGTTTGGATAATCATCAAGAATATGCATAATTTACTTTTTGCATCCGAGGCATTAGTCAATGTCTTTAACCAAATAAGGATACTGTATCACTGTCTCACTCAAATCAGTTTCCATTCTTATCACAGGTGGGCCATACCAAGGGATACATCCAAGTGCTTGTGGTTGCTCCCGAGAGTATGTTGGGGACCTCAGTCAATTCAAAGATCACATCTGTTGGAAGGTGGTCTGCTTTTGGTGAAGTAATTGACACCCCAGCTATGGTAAATAAAGGCACACACCCAGAGAACCCTAAAGTGGGATCTTCTCTTCACTCCAATTCATGCAACAGTTGTGAGTGCTCAAGGGATCCTGAACCCTGCCAGTGTCGTCTCCCGGAATCATGTGTTCAGCAAACCTGTACCGCCAGCCATGTAGATCCTATCGACATTGTTATGGATCGAAATCACACGGGGAGAAATTTTATTGGCTCAATTCAGTCTCTGCTGGTGCGGAAAAGATCATGCGGACCAGAGAAGAAAAGCGAGGGTAACACATTTAAGTCATCAAACGACCATCAAACAGAAGGAACCAGAAGAAAATTAGTTGCCGTGGATTATATGTTGCTGAGTGGAATGGCACTTAGCTTTCTCACCAGTGTAGTTTTGCTAATTTTGATTTCCTCAAAGATGATGTCCTGACAAAGAGATTAAGGTGTCAATTTTGTATGGCTGTATGCTTTGCTAATGCTACGTCCATCTTCCTCGAGCCATCATCCTTTTTACTTGACAGAAACAGGGCAGGTTTTTTGAAGCTCCATGTTGCAGTTTGTACTTTTGGGGCTCGATAAGTTTATTGTCGAAAAATGAAACATAATCTGTGTATTTGATTTACATGACTAATGAAATGCAAACTATTGACTGCTTACAAATTACAGGAGAGAGAGCGATGATTGTTGAATCAGGCAAATTCATCCTTATCACAAGTCTGGGTATAAGATACAGACATTCCAATATCACAGGTTGAAGCATATCTACCATCCAATTGGAGATTACCCTGTTCTTGAAGAAGTGAAAGAAATCTAGTGTTTCTTTTTCCTCCCTAAAAACAAGAAAAAATATTTGCTCTCTGTTTTGCATATTTTGTAACCTATTTTGATTCAGCCCCCCCTTTTCTTTAACAAGATGATAGTCTACAAGAAATTGCTTTCTAAATTTATAGTTTTGGTTCCTTCTCTTTGTTTGCTAAACCATTAAATCTATTTATAGTGCTGATTTAAAAAAAAAATGAAGGAAGTAAAAATAATTTTGACAATAGAATCCCAACAAAATCTAAGGAGACTTGTAGTTGAAGATGTAATCCCTAATACACCCATCTAACCCTATCAAACCTCCATTCATAAACATTAGCATCACATCCAAGCACCGCGTGACATGTCTTGTTGCCTAGCATTACCAACCCTAACACACTCGAGGAAGGCTCGAGTGGGGGGTTTTGCCCTTCTGGAAGCTGAGCCACCCATACACACTCTCGCATCTTTTCTTAATGGCCGCCCATTCGGCGAAGCCTACAGAAAAGGACATGGAAGGACGCAAACAAATGAAGGATGACCAGCAGCAGTAGGAAATGATGAGATAAAGACATCGGTAGTTGCACTGTGTGATGTCATTTGACCACCTGCAACCAACTGCCACCGCCCTCTGCCTCTCCTTTCTTTTGAGCCTTCGTCTGTGGCCATCATATCTGCCCAAGTTGGTAGAGCACGGGGAGGGTTTGGGTGGGGTTCTTTGCCCTCTTAAATTGCTGGGCAGTGGTAGAGAGTGAAAGAGGGAGAGAGAGAGGGGGAGCATATAGATGTTGGATGGTCAATGGAGGGGAATAAGTAAGCTTTCGAGGACACATTAAAGATCCATTTTGTGGTCGAGACGGTGTAACTTGCAAGGTTGTCAAGAGGGCATAAGCTTTTCCTCTGCACTTTGGAGATCAGTTTGTGGTGGAGGTGGTAGTGTGTCCTGGAAGGTGATCCTACTGAAAGTTCTTCTAGATTTAAGTGCACTTTGATGGTCCTCCATTTTATGGTTCATATGATTTCTCTCCAAAGGTGAAGCCACATCAATTTTCTGGACACAGTTTGCAGGAGCGTTGGAAGGCTTAAAACTATGTTTCTTTTTCAGGTCGAGATAATTTCTCTTGCAAGGTGAAAGTTTACTGACACAAAAAAAATTACAGGATTTTATGTTCTCTTCAGATACAAAAGCACTTTGAGGATCATCTTATAATTGATATATATAATTTTGATTAATCTTATCGATTTGTATCGATGTATCGATCAATTATTATATGATGTATATCGAATTATATCGAATATACCGACACATAATATACGAGGGTATATCGTCCAAACGATACATGATCAATCTTACTTAAAATTATAATTTTTCTCTAGAAAGATGAACCTGGCACAAAAAAAAAAAAAGGATTTTTAGATCCAAATGCAGCACTGGAAGATGATGGAATGGTAGAGATGCTTCTCTTGAGAGGTAATAAACCGACATCAAAGTTCTTCGGCACAGAAGAAGGATCTCCACTCCGACCCATCCATTTCATATAGCTTTAGCTAATATGACTTGAACGATCAGTACAGCCATGGCGAGGGGGATGCATGTGATGGTAAAATGGATTCTCTTCAGAAAGAGGAAAAAAGCCTGGTTTCTTGTGCAGGTTGCAAAGTCCTGTGCATTCAAGAGGCGTACTGAGTTCCCTATTCATGTGTTGAAGACAGGAGGATCGGATGTACGACAAGAAAGCACCGCAAGCAAACCTCCTTATTGCTTGTTGAACACAAACACGAGAAGATGAAAGAGACAAACGGCGATCGTCAATCTCATGTCCTCCTTTTGATCCGCAACCCAACCTCCATCGACAACCATGTTTACATACGATGTTCCATGGATGGCGATGGTAAGCGTTCTTCCACTGTGCAGAGTTATAGCTTTCAAGATTGGTGATCACCACCTGAGCAATTAATTAAGTCTTCTGCAACAAGATCGAGTGATGGAATCTGATCTAAACTCTCCATCAGTTGCTTACTGATTAAGGAAGAGCAGAGCAGTGCTATGATTGTGGGTGGGTCTCTGAGATGATGATGATGATGAGACTATAATTATTATCCGCTGTCCAACAGAAGCACACATGAGGAGAAAACCCCACAAGTTTTATCTCCTCCTCTTCTCCTATATTAAATGGTTGCTTTGCCTACCTACCCACCACACTTCACATGTTGCCCACACTCCTCTCTATGTGGCAAAAAGGCCTCAAATCATATGCTGCAACAGTAACATGGAACCTAACTCTCTCACAACCACCGTTCTCACCACCCCACCCTTATCATCTTTGGACTTCCATTTTCTTTTATGGCCACTGAAGTAGCTAAAGATCTGAACGAACAGGAGACTACATGTCATCAGCATTTCTTTTCTCCTTGGAGAAGGAGTAGAATGGGATGATGGACCAATCGCTGGATTAGCTAGCTTCTCAAAGACCATGGATATATTTCATTGTTCCTGTGGGCAAATAAGATCACAGTTTGGGATACAAGCTTAACTCATCTATGTGTGTTTTCCTTCTTCCAATGGTCTGATGTATCTGAAGACATACGGACCGGGAATGGTTCGGCTGCTGCAAGCTTCGCAGCTTTGGAATCCCAGATGGCAGCACAGGCATATGGCTTCGGTGCAACTACCGGTGGATGGTGTTGGTGCTGCGGTGGATGTTGGTGGCGACTCGTTAGGAGGCGACTGTTTCGGGTGGTGGTGAGGCAAGCTTATGGAGAGATCGAGGTCGAGGTCGAGGTCGAGGTCGAGGTCGAGGTCGAGGTCTTGGTCTTGATCTTCGTGGTGGCGGCTGGCGTCGCTGCTCATGCGGCCGTCGTCGGTGGAGTCGGCCGTAGACTTTGCGGCAGCGGCTGCTGTTTCTTGTGGCAGGGGAATGAGGAAGTCTTGGTGTTGGTGTAGGGAGGTGAAGGTGGCCGCGGCGCCGGTGATCGGCCGGTGCGTCTGGGGATCGATGCCTCGGCCGAGGAGCTTCCGCTTGATGTGGGTGTTCCAGTAGTTCTTGATCTCGTTGTCCGTCCTCCCGGGCAATCGCCCAGCTATCAGAGACCACCTGCAGACACGAAACAAGCATCTATAGGTCTTCCTTCACACCCACCCATCATGAATCGACGAACAGAAAGAAAGAAAGCGACGCGCGTACTTGTTTCCCAGCAAGCCATGGAGTTTGATGATGAGCTCATCTTCCTCCTCCGTGAAATTGCCGCGCTTGAGATCAGGCCGAAGGTAGTTTATCCACCTGAGCCGGCAGCTCTTGCCACATCTCAGCAACCCTACACAAGAACAGAAGCCAAGAAAATTAGCATTCCTGGACGTACTCACAGGATGAAGCTCATATCTCGTGGAAGGGAACCTGCAGCTTTGGGGAGGGATCTCCAGCAGCCCTCACCATGAGCTGCGATATAGGTGATCAGCTTCTGGTCCTCTTCCTTGGTCCAAGCTCCTTTGTTGGTGTGAGCCTTCTCACAGCAGGGAGATCTGCCCATGATATCAGACGGACGCACCAGGTACTTGTGACGAGTGGCAGCAGTGGGAATAAGATCGAGAGGAGATGGGGTTAGAGAGAGAGAGAGAGAGAGAGAGAGAGGTGAGCTTGAGCTGGAACAGGAGTGGAATGAGGAGAGAGAGAGAGAGAGAGAGGAGGTGGATGGGATATATACAAGAAGCAGAACAACAAAGAGGGAGCGCCCATTGACTCGATCCCTTTTGTCCCATTTGACCGAGTTGGTGCCGAGGGGGCGAGTGGTTGCAAAGCACGGCGCTGGATATGGTAGGTCAGGTCTACTTTTACGTGAGTGTCTCTTGTGCAATTTGCTCCTTCAGGTCTATTCACTTCATTTATTATCTCTCTCTCTCTCTCTCTGTGTCTGTGGGATGTGTGTGGATGGATCTCTATCTCTATTCCACCGACATTGCCTTTGCGCCTCCCTCACACTCACTCCACCTTTTAAGGATCCTCTAAAGCCCAACTTATGTGCATGTGAGTGTGTGCTTGTTTGTGGGAGAAAGAGAAAGTGTGGAAGAATCTATCTATTTGGTGACCAACCCTTCTCTCATGCTGTCTCCACCCCTACTTTTATTGTGGAACAAGTTCTTCCTTTCTTTAACTCTTTATTCCTATTATCTTAAAACAATGGATGGGATGATCTTTCACTTAAATATTTGGCACTCTTGTTGTGGGTTGGGTTAAAATATTAATCTTAGTTCATCGAAGAAGCATGAAATTTCATTGAAATATGGAGTGGTTTATTTCATGATAATATTTTAACAAAGTTATCCATGTGCCTCATATTTTATTTTTATCAGTTTTGGTCAACAATAAACTTCAAAGTTAAGAAGAATGCACAATATTTTACTTCAAATTTTATTTAAATTACATTGCTGGATTAACATGATGATTTAATCATAGCATAATTAACAAGATAGGATAGGATGAGATTTTTTTCTTGGATTAGGCATGTGTTTAACAATATCAAATCATGCATGTATAAGAGCTTCCAAAGCATTGCATAAATAAATCCCTTGTGTAATTGAACTCTCATACTTGATTGATGCCATGGTAAGAACACCTCAAATCAAATTGGAGTCTTGGAATGAATTCCAAGACCAATTACTAGGAGCTAAAAAGACAGCCACAGGGAAGTGAGACTAAGATCCCTGTACAGATAGATTCATGGATTAAAGGACAAGTTGATTACACCAGAGACATTCCAATATGGTCACATCTGATGAAATCAAGGAATAAGGCAACCTTTAATGTTCCTAATCAAAGATCCAGTAATGGAGAAAGCAAGAAGAAGTTAAGGGAAAGGATGGAGAGAAAGAGAGAAAGAGAGAGAAAAATAAATAAAAGGACTCCCATTACTCCCCAACTAAGTCCAATAGGAGGAAGTAGGTGCACACTTCAATCAAATCAGTGCCCATTTGCTCAGTGCACTCACAAATATCTTGGTGCCCTGTTGACCAAGATCAGCAATTAAGTGTCATCAGACCCATCTCACTAAATGAAGGAAGAGGTTGGTGGGTGGATCTGGGGGGGTATGGTGGCCTGGGGATGATCCAATGCCCCTACAAGTTGGAAAGAGTAGAAGCTTTTGCAGAATCCAACTGGTGCATTTAGTGGGATTCTGATTCCCCAACCTCCCCCTTCCTTTTTCTCTATATGCTGCTATCTCACACTTAAAACACTTTGTAACCCCTCTCCATTGTGTGTACATACCAAAGTCTTTTTACCAACCTCTCTGTGTTGTGGTGGGCTAAATGATAAGCAGCTTTACCTGTGGATTTTTAAGCAGTTCCATCTCTAATGAATGCAATGTCCTTGGCTTACACTGCTGGAGCATCTCTTTGCATGTTCCATCTCTAAGTCCACAATCACAATCATTTTCATCTTCTTCCCTGCGTTGATATAGAAGATGTTAATTCTAGTGACATAATTTCTTTTCATAGGTGAAAATTTGCAAATCTCATAAGCAATTGCTGTTTGGTCTGCTTGTACCAAACTTGAAGAGAACCTATGATTCCCAAACATTTCATTGTGTGATAACCAACTCAGCTGAAAATTTGATATATGCTCTTATGTGGACAACATAATCTATTGTTCTGATAACCAAATGGGCACCAAAAATGAATAATGGAATAAGCAATACCAAGGCTCACAACCAGCAAATACAAACAAGCTTAGCTTTCCTGGCAACAAGAGATGTGAAGTTACAGCATGATGAAAAGACTACAGAATGGGAATGCAGCAGCTTTTATTTCAGTAGATGACTCATCTGAATTAATAGCCTCCGGAAGCAGAAAAATCAACTAAATACACTATCGAATTGGCTCTGGAAATATAATGATATAGTGGACTTCGAATCAGTCTCTATCAAAATTGGATCTCATATTGGCATTTGCATCAGTGATTATTTGAATTAGAGCATCCTCTTTAGCTGCTTACATCCATATTATTTTTCTTATTCACACAAAAGGCACTACTTTCTTTTGTTGCCATATGCAAAGATTGGTGACTTCAGCAAAGAAATGGAATTGGAGGATGATCACCAACCTTTATGCTACTGTTCATAGATTTATGAGTTCTTTCTTGGTGACATATAAACCTAAATAGTTCAAGGCTTCTATAGTATGTATCTGGTTTATAAACTAACAAATGTCTCCTGCAAGATTCTTTGGTCCTTTAGTTTGGAAGAGTTTTCTCTTAAGACTGATAAATCGGATATGTGAGCAACCAAAAAATATTGTTCCATTGTTGTGTCTTCTGCTTTCCATCCTCAAGTGCAGGATTTTAGGACCCTGGGACTTGCCTACAATCTCCAACAGGATTCTGGATGCTACTGATTATGACAACTGAGAAGGATCTTACAGCTCATAAATTCTACAAAGTCCTCTCAAAGAAGACCACAAGATTTTGATCAACAACAAGAACACAAGCTTCGAATAGAGAGAATGAACATAAGACTGCAGGAATCAAGGTTTCCATATCTTCATTGCACAATCTTCACCATATGTGACAACCAAATTTCTGTGAGGGTGATGGGTTACACCAATCACTTCTTTGTCATGAACCTGTGAGCAAAGACAATGCAGAAATTAAACAGACTATAATAATTAGATCATCGCCATCAATTGAGAACATGAAAATGAACCTTAGAAATCAAGGTGTGCATTCCAATAACCAGACCTACTCTGTTTCCATCTCATGTAAACTTTGTTGACCTAATAAGGTAGAGTCCTTTTTTTACAATGTCAACTTCCAATCATCGGGTTCATTTCATTGACAGCTTAAAGCATAACAAACTATTCTTATGCTCCTACAAAAATACCCCAATAACTTCAAAAAGTATTTCCAAGTTGTTCCTCAGGAGAGGAGGCAAGATACAGAAAACTTCTTTCTGAGCACAGAATTAAATTTTGATAGTGAAACTTATTATCTCAGAAAACAATTCAGTATTTCTTACTACATGAAGGAAACAAAAAAAAACTAAACAGCAGGAAAGTTCATAACTTTCTAGAAGTAGAAAAGCTGGAAAATCGTTCTTTCTACAATGTGTGATCTTGTTTTTGTTGTCTCGATTTACTAGACATCTATGTTTCTAACGTATGCAATATCCATGTATGATACATATCGGAGGAATCCTCAGATAAAAACAAGGTATATGACAGATACCTTTTTGTAGCATTTTTAAATTAGTTCTTAAGAAAAGGGGATCTAAGAGGACACTTGGATGAAGTTCCTATATAGGGTATACTTTTTTTTAGCATTCCTGGAAAGGCATTTGTGCCATTGCATTGAGGAGCTTTGACAACTGACTTTAATACCTTGAAGTCAGTGGTCACAATAAGAAGCAAAGAGACTAAGGGTAAGGGAAGACGAAGAGAGTGGAAGTCAAGGATGATGGGTTTCAGATGGAGAAGTGTGAAGCAGTGGAAAAATATGCCAGGAGAGTAGGCATAAATGGTGAAGTTGTTGCAGTGAGTCAGACCAAGATTACCAGATAGGCTAGAAATTCTCAAGGAATTGGAGATCTTTTTGGTTTTTCTATAAATAGTTTAGTGGAGTACTGGAGTCCAATATTACAGTAATCTTCACACATCTTAAAGTCTTTCTACTCAACCTTTCCGAAATTTCCCAATCTAGAGAAATAACAGAGATAAGATACTTTCACATCTTGTGTTCTGGAACCCCATTTATCGCTTGGCTGTTTTCTAGCTTGAACATTGCACATGATACTTCAATTAATTATCCCTATAACAACAAGAACATTGTGACTAAATGAATGAAAACATACCAAACAGCATCGACCAAGAACACTAACCTTCATTAGGTGTTCCAGCTTACCAGACTGGTGGCTAAAACAATACATATTCCTGCAGAGTACCAAGACATTAAAAAAATGATAAATTAGAAGTTTTTCTGCACTCAACAAAATAAGAGCAAAGACAACTAAAAGTGAACAAAGTATCACCAAAAGCATCCAACAATTCCATATGGAAAGGGAAAATAAAGTAAGCAATATCTCTTAGCTCCACTATAAGGGTTGAATTGAAAGAAAGGGCAGCAAGAAAACATCACTTTTTAGCATTTTAATACTGAAACCCCATGACAAGGGAAAACTGTGTATCATTCAGTATGTAATGGAACATACAACATTCAACAAGGAAAATAGAAATACTAACAACAAGAACAAATAAAATATAGGCCACAAAAAGTATTTTATGTAGCATTATCTTCCAAATCCAACCAAATTGCCAGATTCAAATCACTTCCATATTTTTGTTAATATTTCTTGAAGCAGGATAGCATGAAGTATAAAACTCCAAAGGAATCTAACCAATGTCAATGATTTCTTTAATAACAAAAACTAGGGCATCTTGTCAGAAGCCAATACAAACTTTACATCTCCAAGAGGGGTTTCTCCAGCTATAAATGCATAAAATAAGGAGTATGATATCCAATTGTGTCCAAAGACACAAAATATTAGAAGATGAATATTCTACACATTCTCACAATATTAGCAATATCAACCAGATCCACAAACTTCAAATGTATCTTAATAAAAAGCCTCAAATTGATGTCCTTCATTTATCATAGTAATATTAGAATTCACCAATCAAAACAAGGAGAAGACTAAAATTCACAATAAGAGTTAAATTACATTAAATACCATTAAATATTGTTTTGTGTGTTATCATAGGATATATCTAACCCATGGTCCCATGCCCATTTTTTAATCCTGTTTTTGCCAAACCATGTAAGTATGTAACCATGTGTCCTCAACCAAGCCTAGTTGCATATCAGATTAGGTGGGTGACAAGTTTAATTTAGGAAAGGGAAGAAAACTAGATCTATAACTGAAGAATTGAAAATAACAAAGGCTCTAAACAGGAAAGTATAGAAAGTCGCAAGAAGTGTTTCTCATACATGTCTTCACCAACACAGTAGATCCATTCTCCTTTTGGGGAAACACAGGCAGCAACAAAATCTCCCCCTTCTCTCTTCCCAGAGGAGAAGCTTTTTACAACCTGTAAGAACATCAATCGATTTTTCTTTAGATATGTACCACAATGTGTTAACATTCAAAAAACTGAGCCAATTAAAAATGTAAGAAATATAAAATATAGGAGACCTATGACTACATATGCATAATATGAATGCTCAAATTGAAGCATTTCAATAAGTTGCTGCTCTCAGCTCTAGTGTCAGTCGGTATATAACAGTATCGGGTTATGTGTCATATTATTTAGGTCCAATCTCTCTGGATGAACATATCAGCAGTATTGCATTGAGAAATGACAATATTTGCTCTTTGGACTTCATTTTGGAATTAGGTTGTGTTGATCACAAACAATAACAATCATTCATTCTCTGGCTTCAAAACTGAGGATTATCATGCCACACAGCATAGATGGAATGTAATTATGACAGTTATTTGCAATTCTGCACACAATGAGGTATGAACATAGGCATTGGCCAAATTTATGGCACATGCCAATTGGCATAAGAGCATGCCGATGGCAAGACATGGTTGACAAATAGCTCGACATTCCATGGACATTATCTTTGATGACATATCTCAAATCAGATAAAAAGAGAACTCCACTCTTCTCTCCGCTCCTACTATCTTTCTAGGAGATTCAACTTAACTTTGTATGTAGACTCTCATTTTGATGGTTGCTTGATCACAAAAGAAAAATAATCATGCATGACATTTGAATATGTTCGCAACATTGGGCTACACATTTCCATCATTGCATCAATCCAAAAGGTTTTGATATGTAACTTCTTGCAATTACTGAAAAAATCATGAGATCAGAACATTAAATTCATCATCTTCATAAGCAAGGAGTTCTTACTAAGATCCCTGAGAGAGTACCTTTTCTGTTAGTATCACAACTCTTTTGACATTTTAGTATCATCAATTTCGTAAATGCAATTGTTTTTATCTACTGTTTGCTTAAACTCTGACCGTAGGATCAAGATAGACTCTGAATGAACAGGGCTCTTAATTCAATAAATGGTGGCATACGATGATTGTTCTTATTGAAGACAACCATATTTCTGCTGAACTTTTGCAGAGTCTACTCAGAGCCTTTATGTCAAGTTATTCGGATTTTAGTTGTTCAGTAAACTTCTGTGCTAAAACAAATTGTAAACTTTTCAATGTGTTTTGTTTGTCTTCCAATTTTTATAATCTGTCTGATCATACTTCATTTAACATTTGTATATTATAAATACTACAGATTGAGGTCCTTATGTTGTCCACAAACGTATAGAAATAACAAATATTTGTAATCTAAGCTTTGTCCAAATTCTTGATTGCCACTTTACCACTCTGTCAAAGTTTGTAAAGCTTGAATATTCTAATACCATTCATTCAAATTCTTCACCATATATTTCTTCATCACAGAACACAAAAGGCTAGTAGAACAACTTATCCAATTCAATGTGTACACAACAAGCCTGAATATTCTAGTACCAAATGATGACATATATAGACCTTCTACTTCCAAAAGATTTTGAGATGGTTGTAGCGCAAATGAAAGATATATTTGGAATGTCATTACTAAGTAGCAGGAGTTGACAAGTAGCACAAGTACCTGTCCTTGAAGAGTCATCAAGTATACTGAAGATGTCTTATTGCAAACTATAATATGCTCAGCATTTTTGGGGAACAAATGAACAGAGTTCACAGATGCATCACCTCCCTGGAAGAGCAGATGAACATGTTGCCAAATGAATCACTGAAAATAAAATTGTTCATATGAGGTGGAAGGTAAAGTATAAAAGATCCAAAGAATACTCTTAGTGGAGGTGGTGGCTTGAAGGTCTGTAGACAATCTGTGCTCTTCACATCCCACACCTGGCCCAGAACACAAAAAAAAATTGAAATACTGGATGAGATCATAAAAGTGAAAGAATGTGCACCAAAGAGTTGAAGAAATTACTGTTGGTACCTTCACGGTACAATCACTGGAAGCTGTAATAACACGGCTGCCATCATTTGAGAAAATTGCATCATTTACATAAGAAGTGTGACCTCTGAATTCTTTTAATAACTTCCCAGATTTAAGGCCGTGGATTCTGCCATGGAAATGAATCGGAGTTACAAATGGTTATCATTCATCACCAATGTAAGAAAGTTTTAAGAAACAAACACAACATATTTGCCAAATAGAAAAATCTTAAATCTGATATATGTTGGACAAACCCATGGCTGCAGCTCATATACAGCAAGGATTGATTAACACAATTTCACCAACCTTAGTTGAAATAAAAGACAGTGGCTACACAAATGTATCCAGGCATATGAAAAAGCTTAACTTCACAGATAGAAGCACACAGGAAAACTTTGTTCTTATATAAATCTGTCTGGCTTTGAAAGGGCTCGGCAACTTTACAGGGCTGTGGAGAGGTGATACAACACAACAAAACCCCTCAAAAGCTAAACCTGTAAACCCCTCAATTCTATTTAAGTTATTGTGAAATATGCTATTAGACCAGGTTGTTCAAGTTCAATGTCCTAATGGCTAGTTTGTTGAATAAAACACACAACAGCTATTTAGCTGAAGATCCACTTTCTTCTCTATTCAATTTAGCTGAAATATAAATATATAGTTTCAATTTACAACTGATCCCTATTCACTGCTAGTTAAGAAAACAAAGACATCAGGAACAGCATAGAGAAAGAGGCATCAGTAGGGCAATTCCTAGAAAGTTCATCCATCACAATGGAACATATAAATAATTTTAACACTTGGCAAAATGCTGCGATTGGGAACCGAATCTCACTTTCCATTGTCTTGGCACTAACAATAAATCAATAATAAATACTTTAAATCTAATAAATTACCTATTGAATCCCTTTCTTCTCTAAAACCCACCATATTTAATCTTAGTGTCTATGATAGGATTCAAAATCTTTAAAAAAGAATTAGAAATGATAAATTTCTTGTAGAAGTTAAGATTGATAATTGCCAATATTCTAAAGAGGATAAGATATAAAGAGGAGACTATTCTCGATATCATATAATGCTATCCATGAATGTCACACTTAGTGCGGAGTATAGAAGTCAAGATAGATAATTATCACAATGTAGCACTTACAAAATTAAAAGAAATTTGAATGTGTATTACTAAAATTTTTGCTTTACTTGTTGAGACAGATTGGTATTTACTGGTCTAATGATCGATTGGTACATGGATAAGGTGGTCACCAGGTCCCACCTGAAAAAACAGAACGATACTGAACTACATTAAATAATAAGCCTACTACCTGACACCAGTACCTAGTTTCTTTTTTAATTCTGATATTCATCAATTATCTTTGTTTTTTTTTCTTCTCTCGCACTTTTCCTATCAGGCTCTCTATATCTCCACCACATTATCAACACCTCTTCCTCTCTGGTGCGCCATCGTCACCTCCCTTTCATCCGAATTGCTGCCTCGTACTCCTATGATATGCATCACTGCCTCTTCCAAATGGAATCCATCCTCCTCCTCCCCTCTTCTCTTTTCCTTTTTCTCCAGTCCGGGTAGTACCAACCCATAGTTCAGTATGCTGCCCCATATCCATAGGTCCATAACATACCAGTTCAGCCATCAGATGTATCAATACCAGACCGAGACTTAATTCATAAGAATTACAAACAAAATGTTCTTGTTGAACTATTCAAGCTTCTCCTATAGTTGATGAAGGCAACTCATAGATTCCTTGCCATTTCAGGGAATATTCCAATGAGTAGTCAAACAAAAATAAAATTTTCATTAATGATTGACTTCTTTTTGTTAGATCAAATTAGCTTAAGAAAACTACTACTCATTTGTTTCTCTCCTAAGATAAAAGGGGAAAATCACTTGTAAACTTGCTTCAGAATGATTCAGACTGCCATGCAATATCAAGAGCATACAAAAAAGTCAAACTAAAGATAAATGATGATGAAATACAAGGTCACAAAGTGGTTCTGAAAACCTTGCTGTATTGTCAAAGGATGCACTCAAAAGCTGGCTGCCATCACGAGAAAACACAATACTTGTTACACCTTGAGAATGTGCTCGCTCAAGGCGACGCAAGCATTGACCCGTTCTAATACGCCAAACCTGTGGAAAAAGTTTACCAAATTTATCAAGTTCAATAAGGCATACATGAAAAACAGAAAGAGCAACAACTAAATAAATGCTTGACCAGTTCAAGAACCAACCTAAGAATTTGGACATAAGTTGGTAGAAATGATGTTCCAACTAGGAAAGAATTGATCTGTCACTTTACTGAAGATCAAAAATCAAGAGAAAGATAAATCTGAAGATGAGAAGGTTCTTCACCTCCAAAAACATCAAAGGACACAAATGCAATGAGGTAGTTCATGAATGTAGCAGCTGTTTGTGATATTGGCCATATAATACACCCTATCAATGTCTATTGCGCCCAAGGATGATGAGATATTCCATAGAAAGCAGTTTAATTAAAAAAACAATTCTTTTACTAATGAAATTTTCACTTGGCAAAAAAATTTCCAAAGTAGATGAAAATCAAAAGGGGAAAAAAAATATTCTAGCTTACAACAAGCAGTAGTTCAATAGCTAGATTAAAGTCATTGGACTAAGCTTCAACCACATGAAAATTGAAAAGTACATACACAGTTGAAGTATCATACCTTAATTTTTCCATCCTGTGATCCAGATGCCAGCATTTCTGAATCCCGACTAAAATCAACACAAAGCACAGCATCATCATGCATCATAAAAGCATCCTGTACCCATTAAGGAGCGGTCAGAAGATTTATAAAGGCATGATTTGAGATTAAACAATTATGTTATGCAGAAGGAAAATTGCTTACAAATAATATTTCAACAATATGACAGAGAAGAAAACTAGTTTTCATCAGCATATACCAACAACATGATGTTCATATATATCAAATCAGCTTCCATAGGAAAGAATATTAAAGATCAAGGTTAAAGGAAAAGAATTTTCTCTTCCAGAGATTTCCTTTTTGCCAGCATAAATTATAATTAGGAGTCCAGTTAACAGTCTTTGATGATATATAGAGTTATGATATATTCTTAATAAAACTTTGAATTCTCTATTGCCCAATGATCATCATTATCTCTTCTGCTGACTCTTATAAAATTTGCCCAACTTACAACTCTTCATCTTTCCTATCGAAGTATTCATCTCCCTCATCCCTCACTCCCTTTATCATATTTTTTAATATAAAATTTTAATGCCTTATAAACATATCAAGTATGTTAAGTTATAACCACATTGCTCAGAAATAAGCACTACAACAAATCACAGAAAAGTATGTTTTCCTTGATATGATGACAACTGCAGGCTTACTGACTCACATCAGCCTGATACTGCAGATCCTTCTTAAGCTTCCCACTAATATAATCCCAAACCTGAACATAATGCACAAGTCAAAAGAGATGCAATTTTCCACAATACCGTAGCATCAGAAACTGAAAAATGAATTGGAAATTCTACCTCAATAAATCCATCAACCGAGCATGAAACTAGGTACTGACCATCAGGCGAAAATCGAGCACATTCCGGATGACTTTTCTTTCCAAACTGAAATGAACCAGGTAATAAATTGGAGTTTATACAGAAGAATTTTTGAACTCTTAGCATTCAAAAGATAGGTCTGCATCTAGACATTCCACCAAAAGATAGTGCCTACAGAAACTTTACAGTACAAGGTGATGAGGAAAACCACCACACCAATTCCATAGCACCATGTAACTGTAAGCACAACATATGAAATAAATTCTTGCATATACTAGATCAAGCAAGATCAACTGCAATATTATGATTAAAAAAAGAAATTTATGAGAATAAAATTATGTCCAAGATATTTGCTATTACAAAATAATCTCTAGGAAGACTGGGTCCAGTGAGATTTAAGTTGAGGATGACTACCAAAATGGAACATAATCAACAGAGAAAGTAATATATCAAATATTTTTTCAAAGAGTATTTGTATTAGTCTGATCACAAATGAAAACTCTTTACTCATCTTCCAAAAGTGGCCCGTTATGACAAAATAAAGTTAATCCCCTTAACAGTTTCCCAGCAACTGCAGCTAATCTAGAATGCTAACATATCTAGACAACCAACAAAAATTAATATGCATGCACCATGGATTTAATGCAACATGAATGTTGCTACTTATTAACACAACTTGAACTGTTAAAGCCTAGTTCCTACAGACTCTTTGGAAGGACAAAAAAATCTTCAACTAATGCTCAAATGCAAACAAATTTGACCTTGAATTTCTATGAACAACCCATGCATGCTATAAGTAGCACTAGGATTGTCTTATAAGCCATCACCATGATTGATTCTTGTATGATTTTTATAGACACTAACTCCTGCATCATAATATTATATGAACAATGTCGAGGTATTACATCAAACAGTGTACCACTCATAGAGGCATTAAATACTGGTCCAAGCCAGGATGAAGCAATAGACACCCTATATCAGTGCATACACAAAACCAACCTTAGACCAGGTATTAATGATGTTTTGGTTGGTTTGGCCTTAAATTGATTACGGACAGACTTCTTATTTGGACTTTGATTGATTTCTGCGAAAAAATTGACTAAAGCATCATTAGATTCATTCCATATCTAACCCATTACATTGCACCTAGAGACTATCACCAAAAGTAACTTAACTAGACTTGCCCTACTACTAGCATGCGTGTGCGGTTGGATGACATCTACGAAGATCTCACTGTACATACATATTTTGCCATCTCTCACACTGTGTCTATATATAAACACAAATTTGTTAAAGGACACAAGTTGAGAAGGCAAGAAAACAAAAGAAACTAAGATGTTCTTGTTTAAAATAAACACTCCAGTGCAGAATCAGTTCTTGTTGCTCAGAGCCTCAGACAATAGTAGAAGAATTCTACACTTTTGCTTTGACCTTTTTGTGTGTTATTGAATATGACAAGATTTACATAAAACAATGGTAGTAAAATCATACAGAGTTTGTGTTAAAAAAAATTCATACGAAGTTTATCAAAAATAACCACATACTAAAAAATCTTTAACAAAAACTGTTATTTACTTGAAAGATGAGTCTACAAGGTTGCATGATGCATTTAATCAGATTTTTTACACATGAAATGGACTAAATAATACCTTAATTGGGTGCGCAAGGGTTGTCGGATATATATCATCTTCATCTTGCTTCATTGCAGCTGTTCCTCGGAACAAGTCAAATTGAGTGCCTGGTGGCAACAATCCTGAGATATGTGATAGGAAAACATATGCTTCAGCCATGAAAGTCAATACCATTGAAAGCCAACAAGGCTTGGACTAGTTCAAGTAAATTCCAAAGTTGTACCTTGATGTTGCTGCCACTTCAGAGCCTGACCGATCAATGCCATCAATCGAGATGGTGGTACAACAGATACTTCAGCAGCAAGAGCTGAAAAGAAATTCCAAAGAGAGAAAAATTAGTGTAGGAATTAATATGATACATCATCACCAACAACATAGATGATCAGAGCTGTCCTAGCAAACTTAAAAAAGCAAGAGCTTACATAGCAGATAAACTATGACCAAAATAAATTCTTCCATAACCAACGAGGCAATTGCAAGTCACCTTATCAATAACCTCAAGAATTAAACCATTGTTTCTTGTATAAAAAAACTATGAAGAACAGACATAAATATGTTATAGACCAATGCCAATACTGCTAATCATGGAAAAGTAGGAAAGCACATAGCATGGACATGGCACCTAATAACTACATTAGTTATATATACTGCTATATGATGCATATATGAAGATATGTTTACACAATTTAAGATCACCATATTCGTACTTATAACAAGCATAATAATCATTCATATACTTAGCAGTTAGCACTGCCAGAAGCCCTATATATATAAAGTCCACATTTGCCAGAAGTCCTTTCTAGATGAAAAAAAAGACCTTCAATATTTCATATATCAATATTAATAAACATAGATAGTGCACATGACTTATCATGTTTTTAAGTATTTAGCATGCTTGGGAAGTGTCTTATAAGTATCAGTGTGCCACACCAACACAACATGAACATCACAAGAATTTTCTTAAGTGTCAATGCTTCATAAAAATAAATTTCATTGTCTAAGAAACAACAATGACCATTGAATTCGAAAGAAATTACATAAGCATACAGCTACTATATAACACAATGTAATTGTGATTCTTAATAGATAATGATAAGACCAGAAAAAGCTGAGTGATTCTGGCAAAAATAAATTCTAGAAAATCAATATGTGAGACCTAACACCAAAATACATGGGAAGATTAGCTCAAATGGCAAATTGAAACCTTGAGCAATTTGTGCACGGCGCTTCTCCTTAGTTGACTCTTGATATGCCTATTACATGGAAGAAGAAAGCATGATCAGAAATAGAGTAGCCAGGTACAGTTTGATAGCTATCAAGCACCGCAAACAAAACGAGTTGTAAAGCAAATAAATAGTCCATGATTTAATATATCCATCAATGACTGCAAATAAATGTTCCAGATTATGCCTGCTTTCTGTTGCTACAGTTTTTTATATATCTATCTCAGTGCAAGTGAGCCCATTGTTAGATAAGGGAGGGCGATGATGATCACTATAATGCAAATACATGGCTGTACAATCTGATCTTAGTAACAGGGTTAAACTCACAATGACAAAGGCATTTTGTCCAGTTTTGATTTTTTGAACAAAGAAAGAATATGAATCCTTGCAAGGTCCACTTGTATCCATGTTAGATTACACTTAATTGATGCATTTAGACATTTCCTTGAACATGTTAATGATGTACTAATTTCTCAGCACATTCTTTAGGCACTAAACCAGGAACTTTTCATGGTCTCAATATTTCCTACCAAATCTTGCCAGCAACATGTTGGAACCAAATTATAAGAAAAAGCAACAGCTCTTCCAAAAGAAACAGAAATCATGCTCCCTTGATCAGACGTATAAATTCTTGATATACATATGAAATGTGAAATTTTAGAACCTGTCAATGCAATCACTAAGCTTAAAAATTCTAGAGATTATAGTTTAGTATTACATCAGTCAATGGAACTTCACAATTTCTCTCTCATGAATGCCTTCAGCTCTAAATCAGTTGCGCTCAACTCCTGTCCCTTTCTAACCAGAAACTACCACTACTGCATTATAAGCTTCTCCAAAAAGTTCTATAACATGTTTCATACTTTTCATCTAGGTTTCCAGGCAAGGAAAAAGTTAGGCCTAATGTCCTGAATCTTGTCCTCACTTTTTTTTGCACAGTGAAAACTTAAATGCACATAAGAGAATATATTAAGAAGCAAGAGATCACAATAGCATTTTAGTGGGTAACAGCACAGGATATGCTCATAAAAGGAATGACAGGATGTAAATCACTGCATATTATAAATAGCTAATATATGCAAACCTCATTGGGGTCAAAATACGTCCGGACTAAGAGATGCTCAAGACGTAAGTATCTCTCAGGTTGCTCTTGCTTCATTATTCCCATAACCTGAGTTTGTCTAAGAATAGCACGAGCAGTGTCCAACTCCCGAAGCTCAATCATTTCTAACACAATCTGCCACAGAAGAAAAATAAATATAAGAGCTGGTCTCATAAACAAAATCAATTATCTCCAAAAATCAGATAAATACTGCAAACATAAAGAAAGCCAAACTCATATTAAATGAACATAGAAGAGATAACTAGCTTAAGACCTCAACATGTAAACAAATAAAAGAAACAAATGAAAGGAAAACATAAGTTTCAAGCATGCTGATCTTATCTGCAATGTCCGGCTTGATGAGATAACTGACCTATTAGCTTGAGACCTCAACATGTAAACAAATAAAAGAAATAAATGAAAGGAAAACATAAGCTTCAAGTGTGCTAATCTGATCTGTCATGTCAGGCTTGATGGGATAACTGACCTATTAACTTGATGAGTTTAAACCACAGGCTCAAGACACTTAAACTATTAGTCCTATATAACCTTTAAAAATCAATTGAAGTCTTGTCACACTTCTAATGTGGAATTAAACTGGGGGTGTTCCATTATTCATGTCTAAATAGAAGCAAATTTGGATTACATTACAGTAATTACACTGATCTATGAAGAAATATTTTAAGGACTTCACAAATAATCCCATCAGAGTAGCCATTCAAATAAAAAGAAAGAATCATTGGATTATAATCTGCAGATCTTAGGCCAAGAAAAGAACACTGACCACAACAGTCTCACAGCTACTCTCTTTCCAAGTCTATGACAGAAGCCAAGCAATGATGAGTTATTTAACATTAAACAGAGTACACAAGTAAATTCATACGAAGTTACAATCTCAAAAAGAAAAGGAGCAAGTGTTTAGATAAATCGGTTTAAAAAAGAGGCACATGCACAAAGTTCCAAGTTACAAACCTGTTCATAGAGGTCCTCCAGGTTCTTTCTTGGAAGTTTAAGCTGTGCCACTTGTGGCAAAATTGCATCCCATCTTCCACTATTAATATCAGCAACAAATGTTTCAAGGCTGTCTACCGTGTTTAATGAAACTTGGCACTCACTCTGCAATGTCTGGAAGGTTTGGTGTAATGAATTTTCTTTGCAGAATTGTAGAACAATTTTGATTACACTGCAAAAACAAATGATAAGCGATTGCAAATTCAGAAACTGCAAATATTTAACAAGGACAGACCTATCAAGAGTAAATAAATATTGTAATTTTGTTTGGTGAAGATGAAATAGCTCTACGTATATCTCATTCTACAGGAGTTTATTACAGACATCATGGAACAACTTTCTTCTTTCTGTAAAGTTGAAAGAGAAAAAACAAGGAAGATAAATCTGCCAGTGGTTTTCTTCTAACTGATGTGCTAGTAAAAAAACACGCAAACAAAGCATCACTAAGAAAAGCCCATTATCTTAAAAGCATCAACACCCAAAGATTAAGGTAAGATTCACAACACGACTGAGATGATAATAAATTTCTAGCTTAAGGTTTCACTGTGTATGCACGATTTATTAATCCTGGACTACCTCAAGATCCTCTCAAAACTCTAGGAACTTGAAACAAGCTTCTTTAATATGACTTTAAATGATTCTACCAGATTTTATCTCCACTGTATAAAAAAATTCATTCTCCATCTAAATAAACCCAAATGCCATCCCTCAACCATTTGTAGATCCCTCCTTTTGGTATAATCCGCCCACTTCTATCATTCCATGATGGAAAGAGCGACAAATGTGATTTCTTGGTGCCAAAACCTTAAACAAAATATCATTTATTAAGAGGCAAATGGACACAGCCTTACCCCTACAACCAGAGGGGAAACCCTGATAACCCAGGTTGCAAACCCTACGTCTTCTTTAAATTCCAAGTGCATCACCCAAAAACCGAAACCATCAAATACAACTTTCCACGTCTCCAATTTGAAGAATTACTGTCCAGGCATGGTCAAAACTGGTAGCTCCAATCCATCCCGGATTAAGACAACTATTAGTGCTCACATAACACAGAGGAGAAGGAGGCAATTGTCAAGATTCGAGAAAAGAAAATAAAGAAGTAGAAATTACTCCGGCGCTTCGATTTCCAGAGTCGACATGATCGAACTCCACGGAGATAACCGAGCCCTAACGATCAAAACTCTGGTCGAACCTCAGCCCAATCGAACAAAGCGCGGAACAGAGATCAGTTCGATCAAATAGGGTTCGGGATCCCCTCGTCCTAGCCCAGACAGCTCGCGTCCGGCTCGTTAGATGCTCAACAATCCCTTAAACGGCAATGCATCATCGTGGAACGCCGCAGCTCTGCGTCGTCGCTAGGCGGCGACAGCGAAGGACGAACTGTAGTGGCAGCGACGGCAGAGGAGGGAGTCAGCGGCGGTGACCTGGAGTCAGAGGATAGCCAACGGTGGTAGAAGATGGCGGCCCCCTGGCAACTCCGGCGTAGAAGAGCCGGGGAGAACGACACTATCGATTCGACCAAAGCAGGATTTTTCCTCCCTTTTAATGAGGACGTATTTTTCCTTCTTCTTTATAAGGATAAATGCCTCTCACCGTTGGATTTAAATCAACGGCCGAAACTTATTGGACATACTCCTTCAGCTCTACGTGAGCCGACCGGTTTGGTTAGAGGCCCAACACAATTTATTGGACCGTCGGCTCACGGCCAGAAGAGGGATATTGTCCGGTCGAGGGTCGAGCCACATGGGCCAACCCGGCCCAACATTAGACATTATTGGACCGTCAACTTGCTTGACCAATATGCCCTTTCTAATGTATCTATTCTCATCTCCATTTATACACGATCATTTTTTATATATCCATTGTCTCAAATTAACAAAGCGAATACTATATATTACTTAGGAAATTGAATGACAGCACAATAGAACGGTAAGCTGTGATGATCAAAATCATGTTTACTGATTCCGACAAAGTTCACCAACCAATCTAAACATTTACACCTGAAAGATCCACAAAGATAAGTTTTGGAAAGTTTGACCATGGAATAGACGCAGGTAGTCAACGTTTACCCAACAACCACAGCCTTGTGTGGTTGACTTCAGTTTTGTCCATGTCTGAACCCAGTGGTCTCATGGGACATGGTGAGGTTGCAACTTGCGTGCAGTTTCTTCCCAAAACCCTAACCAGGCTTGCATCTTCTCATTACCCTGCAGAGTCTTTCTACTTGCATGTGCTGTGTCTGTAGCTCTGATGTCGCCATACTTTGTTTGACTGTGTGTTCTTGAGTTGTTTATGTGAGGATGAAGGTATGACATTGTGGTCAGCTGGAAGAAGCTCATGATCAATATGGTTGCACAGTATCCAAATCTGCATTGTTTTTTAAGGCATATTACAAGGTCCAAGATACTTGGCAACTGCTGATCCAGTAGATTTGTCAATGCATCTAGCTTGATGTTGGCATGGATTTGAGCATTCTGGTATTTGACTTTTGGCAATCTAAAGAAAAAGGGAATAAAAGTGTTGTTTCTTATATATTTTGATTGGCATACCAGTTGAACAGCATTTCCAATTACCAATGGCAGGAAGTCATATGGTTATGCTGCACAGCCAATTCCATCTTGATGGGATAAGGTTTCAAATAGTTCCTTTATGATACAGAGAATAGATTGAAAACAATTACAAGACAATAATAGGTCAATACTTTACACCCAAACCTTCAATTATTTAAGGATGCAGATTAGCAAGGTCAGATAGCACTTGAAAAAGTCTTCATAGACTTCTTGTACCAAAAAATAAAGTTGTATCAAACCAATTGAGCAGAAGAAAGTATATATTCCTAATAATTTGAATCATGCAGATTAAAAATGTTTGGTATGGATATCAATATGGCAGTCAATTAAAATTCCAAATCATGTTCAATTGTGACATGGATGATGACAATGAGCTAAGCTTAGTTGTTGTTGTTCATACTGCACCGACGAAATGAGAAGGGAGGGGTTGGGTTTGACCAGCTTCACCACAGTCAATGGGGTGGGGTTGGGCTTAAAGCTGTGGGTGGGTGGACTTTTGAATGGCCTTGCTTTGGTGGTGTGGAGAGTTAGGAACGCGTCAAACTTTTAGTCCTCGCTTCATCGGTCTTCTCCCCTCTCTCGCATCGCAGCCCTTTGAAGCCCTCTCCTGACGCCGTCGCCAGTCGAAAGATCTCATCTTGGCCGACCGGTCGATCTAATTCAAGCCGCAATCCTCGCTCCTGACGGGTATGTTCTTGCTGTTTGGTGGTCCAAAGGTTGGAGCTTTTTGGTCTTTCCGATCGATTAATCGTTTTCCGACGCGGTTGTGACCTGATTCTTCCTTGTTTCGTGTTATTTTGGCGTTTTATTCCTCTGTTCCTTGGTATTTTGCTCTTGGTTTGGTGAATTCGGTGTAAAGATGGTTCCTTTTCGATTTCAGAGTTTCTTGTTGCATTGGGGCTCCTGCTGCGGTCAAAATCGGATCAGATTTTGGGGTTCTTGGTGTGATGCGCCATTTAATTCCGCTGATTTATAGTTCACGTCTTGCTGTATGAGAAGAAAGAGGCGGAATTGAGTTAGTACAGAAAGGTTGGTACCATGGGGGTGTTTTGCTCGAAGATGGCTGTGGTAGATAGATCGCCTAGTGAGATCACCTTACAAAATGGATTTGGAGGCCAGTATGCGTTTCCTTATGAGACTCATGGGAAGGGGCAGGGCATTTACAAGACCTTGCCACGGGAAGAACCTAAGAAACAGTTAAGTGAAGATCCCTACCCGTTTGCAGCAATGGATGGCTTTGGGATCATTGAATCTCGTGCTGTGGAGCCGAAATTGTCCAGGGCTTCTTCACAGAAATCTAAAACCACTATGGAAAAGCCAACAGCCTCTGGAAAATCTGGGACAACCAAGGCAAGTATTTTCTTGCATAATAACCCAAAAGAAAAGGTCTTTTCTTTTGATAATTCTTTTGTTCTTGCTAGCACGTTACGTTACATCATGTTAACTGGCATCGAATTAACATAATGCCCCATGTGTTTGTGTACATTTGCCGTAGATGCTATTTATGGTCTATTTAGTGGGCAATCCAATCCCATTCTTATTCTGGTGCTGCTAAAAGTTTGTAAACAATGATTAATTATGGCCTCAAAATCCACCTAATGTTAATAACTAGTGTGCACGCAAGAATGTTCGGAAGCTATCAAATATCAACTTAAGAATCATGAAGAACTCATGCTATTGCATTTATGCTGATTATGGCATTGCCAAAGTCTATGTTCCTAGTGGTTGTGTTTTGACAAGTTTGTTCCTGCTTTCCATTGAAGAAGCTCTTACATAATAGAATATGTATAAACCGTCTTCTCGATGATCTTCTAGCGTAATAATAACATTTGTTTTGGTCTACTTAACCAATACAGAGACATTTCACAAGATGCAACCAGTTTTTTTTTCTTTTCTTATAAATGAAACTGTTAAGAGGAAATTAATGAAACAACATAAGTTCAGGTCCTGTAATGTTGAGCAGAGAGAAATAAGGAATTCTCATCATTTCATAGTTTCATGGATCAATTTCATTTCAGTGGGTTCTTCTGCTTGAATTTTTTTTCTCATTAATAATGCTTTACTTGAATTTTCGGAAAGTAATATGTATTCTTTGTGTGGGCCATTGTCATACATGATTACAATGGTAATGGCCAAATGAGAAACTAAAGCACCTAGGAGAGAAGCTAAATAACAAAAGAGTCATGGCACTGAATCATCAGCAAAAGGAAATAATACCTGTTATGCACCAAGCTAGTCCCTATTGCCGGAACATGGCTAGTAAAAGATCAATGCCCTTTATATTTAGAAACTCATAAGTATCAAGTTAAGGTTGTACAAATTCTTCTCTCCTTTTGCTTCCAGCATTTCATGCCTTTGATGATGCACCCAGCCTCTGATTTAGGATATCAGACCTGCATATATTACTTTCCTTTTGCATATAGATCAGTCTCATGTGCACAGTTTAGGAATGAGTATTTTGCTAGAAGCCAACATTAGAATATATCTTTTAGGCCAAGGATTTTCCAAGAACAAGTGGCATACATTAATTTGGTAAAACATGAGAATGGAGAACAGTATGATTCATACCTGATGCAAACATAGTTACACAGTTTGCACATAGACAAAAACTAGAAGAGTTCATACTGATGAGAACATAATTGCATGATCGCCACATAGAGAGAAAGTGACTAGCTGGTAGAATTTTGTGGAAGAGATTATTTTCAAACAAATTTAGTGAGAAAAAAAGATAAAGTATCAACAAGGATATGATAACCTCTGTCAGTCTACTACAATATCTTAATTGTTTTTAGTTATAGAACAAGTTAGTAACAATATTCATTTTGTTAGTTCATATACGATCCCCAACTCACCATGCTAATTATGGTAACTATACAGATAGATTGTTGACCTAGCGAAATACTTATTGTGACTGAAATGATGAACTATCTATTCTTTTCCAAAGTAAAAAGAAAACAAATTTGGAACTCAAATTTCGTATTATATCCCGCCAGCAGCGGGGAAGGTCAAAGTTGCCTTTACAAGTAGGAAGGTGATATTTAACATTCAGTGACACAAATCTTTGGCGCTCAAATCATACCGGAGTAAGCGATCCCATTTCTTGCTCTTCTTAATTATGTATGAAGTCTATGTTAATTCTAAAATTTTGATTTGTAGGTTGGTCAATCTGTGAAAGTTCTTGTTATGTATAATTTGTGAAAGTTGTTTGAGCATCAAGCAGAGATGGGTCATATTATGAACAAAAATAATATACACACTATTGAAAAGGGGAAGGAATTAATTTTCTTCTAGTGGTCTAAGAGTTCTGCAATTTTTTCTGTGAGATTTAGAACTCGGCAGTTAGGCAGTTGGCATTTGCAACTGTTTTGAAGTAATATATGGAATATGAACATGTGTAGCATATGTAGTCACTCATATAAATGCACATGACAGAATAATCTGAGATGCAGACCTCAAACAGCTGAGTCAGGGAAGGATTTTGTGGTTTTTTTTCCTTTTTGTCTTTATTTTTAATGTGGTTTCTATGGTTGGTTGTTTTAGTGTATAATTATACTGAAGTAGCTAAGATGTTTATGTGCTTGACTTATTCAATGTTAATCTAATAGAATCAGGCATGATTTGACTACTACTTCAATAATTTCTTTTAAGCAAGGCCCATATGAACATTTTCTAAAGTGCTCTGGTTTAGATTCTCCTGCAAAGCATCGGTCATTGATGTTTTCCTTTTTGATTTGTTCCAGGTCTCAGAAGTGAGCTCACTCTTGGGCAGGGCTGGTACCGTTGGACTTGGGAAGGCAGTGAATATGTTGGACATAGTTGGTAGTAGCATGACAAATTTGAACTCTGGGAGTGGCTTTGTCTCAGGGGTCATATCAAAAGGCAACAAGATTTCTATTTTGGCTTTTGAGGTTGCCAACACAATAGTGAAAGGTTCTAATCTCATGCAGTCACTGTCGAGAAAAAATATAAAGCATTTGAAAGAAGTGGTGCTTCCTTCGGAAGGGGTGCAATGTTTAGTTTCTAAAGATATGGTTGAATTATTGAGAATAGCTGCTGCTGACAAAAGGTGAATGATAGACTTAAAACTGTTGCTATGTTAATTTCATAAGTATTTTTCATGAGAAAGAATCCTAGTATTGGTGCTACTCAATTATCATAACTTTAGTTATAAGGTCTTCAACGCATCTTAAAATAAACCTTTGTGTTTCTTGTGTCCATTCAACAGGGAAGAGTTGAAAGTATTTTCTGGGGAGATTATTCGATTTGGAAATCGCTGCAAAGATCCTCAATGGCACAACTTAGAACGCTACTTTGACAAGTAAAACTTGAACATGTCCACATTTATACATTACTTGACTTTGTTTTATTAGTGTTGAAAATATCATATTTCTGCTTTTCTTTTCAATTCCAGGTTGGAGTCTGATCTTACACCTCAGCAGAAGCTAAAGGAAACGGCATCAGAGGAAATGGAATACTTGATGGCGTTGGTTCATTATACAGCTGTGAGTGCTCAGATATTTGGTAGTTAATGAATGCTGTGACTGTATTGTTGCTAAAAGTTTTGCTAATTATGAAATTTTAATGACTAAATGTGCAATCTGAATTTGAGCTATCGAAAAATGATGATACTCTCAAAGAGTATGGTCAACCATTTAAAATTCAATTTTGATTAAGATGATCTTTAAACTACTGTTGTGTGCCCTTGATGACATTTTGATGACATGTGCCTATTATGTTAACCATTATCTTTTAAGGAATTTGTTGCATATAATATCTGTTGGTTTCCTTTTTTTCCTTTTCCAAATGGCTGATGTTTCCATGATAACTATTCAGCATAATGTGGATTTAAAGTATCAATTGCACTGGAAGTGCATGTAATACTATTATATCTGTTAGCACTCCATCAATAAGTTCTATACCCTTGTTTCAAAAGGTCAGCTGGACATTTTAATGGTTGTTTATTTAAGAGAAAAAAAGAACTTTGCTATTTTGACAACAGTGGCAGATCTTCTGTATGGCAGTTTTAGGGATCTTTTCTTGCTTGTTAAACACTACGTATTGTTTTTAACTGTAGTCCAACTTATTGTTGCGTAATTATTGATTTTTCTGCCTTGTAGGAGCTTTACCATGAGTTACATGCTTTGGATAAATATGAGCAAGATTACAGGCGGAAACTCCAAGAGGAGAAGAATTTGGTTGCAGCTCAAAGAGGTACATTTTTCTAGTACATCAAATTTTGTGGCACTTCATCATTGTGCATGGTTTTATTATGTCAAAATCAGCTTGTCTACAAACTACTTTTTTCTGCTTATGTTTAAAATGATGTGGAGATTACTACAGCATGTTATCATCAACATTTTGTTCATGGTGAATAATTTACTTTACCTCAGTAGGGTCAGTATGTATGTTGCTCATGTAGTTTCTGCGACTCATTTGTGACCTTACATGCCTCTCTTTACATCCAGGGGACAATCTACAAATACTACGACAAGAGCTGAAGAGCCAACAAAAGCATGTTAAAAACTTAAAGAAAAAATCACTTTGGACACGGAATTTGGAAGAGGTAAGCAGGTGGTACTGATTTACATGTGACTGTTGGGGGTATTTAATCATCATTGTCCATGAATCACCACCTTCAAGCCATGATTCTGCATTATATATCCAATGGTGTGATAAACCCTTTTGGAGTTCATATGTTCGGCTATCATAATCAACTATGTACTTATGATATCATTGAATCTGTACTTCTGCACACTAATGATCATTGAACCTGTACTTCTTCAAATATATCCACATCGGCTATCATAACGACGTGTATTTTTTTACTGAGAAAAACCAACTAATCAAACCTTTGTTACAGGTTATGATGAAGCTTGTGGACATTGTGCATTTCTTGCATTTGGAAATTCATCGTGCCTTTGGAAGTGCTGGTACATTTTTCCTATTTTCACATGATACTTTTTTTTTTTTGCACCAGCATAATAGAGGAAATCACTAAATATCTCTTTGAGGATGCAATTTTTTTGGAAATTGCTTTTTCATATCATTATTTTTTATTTGTTATTTGCCTCATATCAAAATGATTCATTATATCTTCTTTCAATCGTAGATGGGGATAAACCTGTTGAAGGGTCCATCAGCGGCCAGCAAAGACTTGGGCCAACTGGCCTTGCACTGCATTATGCAAATATTATTATTCAAGTTGACACTCTTGTAAGATCCTTTTCTTTGTTTTCATACCCATTCTGCATGATAATTGTCAACACCTGTTTGTTTTTCTGTTTTGAGATTGTTCCTTGAGGTTAAATTTTCTTGGTTAGTTCAATATGGAATGTAATATGACATTTTTTGTTTCTTGTTCATGAAATATATCAAGTTATGCATATTTGAAATGTTGAAATTATCCAGAGTATGCTCTGCATTTGTGTCTTCCTTCGCATGTTTTGTTCATATAATTCGATTTGGCTTCCATTTCCCCAGTTGCATTTTTGTCACTTATATAAACAGCTCTGCCTTGTATTCTCTTTTTGTGGGCATACCAACACTATGTTCTCATTATTGCTGTCTTTGCATTTACATTTTTGTATTGCCTTCTATCTCTTTGATGCGCATATCGACAACATATTCTGATTATTATGTTCTCTGAGTATATCAGGTTTCACGATCAATTTCTGTGCCACCAAACAATAGGGACGCGTTGTACCAAGGACTGCCACCCGGTATAAAATCTGCACTGCGGTCCAAGTTACAATCCTTTCAGGTCAAGGAAGAGGTATGTTCTCCTTGATAGCTTTTTCCCTTGCTACTAAAGGATTTCTAACCAGCATTTAATAAATCTTCATCATCTACTATTCTGTCTTTCTGTCTTTTTATTGTTGTTCTTTTATCACTTGCAGCTAACAGTTCCTCAAATCAAAGCTGAAATGGAGAAAACTTTGCAGTGGCTTGTGCCAATAGCAAACAACACAACCAGGTAATTCTAACAGCAATATACTTGAATGTACTGTCCCAGCTCTCTGTTTGCTTATTTGGAACCTTCAATTTATCGAGTGACACTTTTTTCTTTTCCTATTTGTCGATGCAATCCGGTCATCAGAGTACACCATGGTTTTGGTTGGGTCGGGGAATGGGCAAACACAGGGTCAGTGACTGTTTCATTGCTTCCTTTTGTGAAAGAATTGACATATTTTCCATCGAAGAGTTAGCGATTTGACATTATATGCATATTTTTAATTTCAGCATCGAAATGAACCGGAGGCTTCCTGGGCATACCGACTTGATCAAGATAGAGACGCTTCATCATGCAGATAAGGACAAGACAGATGCATACATACTCGATTTGGTCCTGTGGCTTCATCACCTGATTACCCACAGCAGACCTGGGAACACAGCTATTAGGTCTCCCAACAAGTCGCCAATTCGATCACCTAAAAAGAAGAGGTCACCTGTGTCTTCGCCCATGAACAAATCTGCCTCTCCATCTTCCAAGCTCACCCCAGAAGAGCAAGAAATGCTCCGAGATGTCGACTTCAGAAGACGCACCCTGGGGAGAAGCAAAAGCCAGGAATTTGAAATCGGCGGAGCGAGGTTGAGAAAGGATGACAGGTTGAGCAAGAGCAGCAGTCACTGCCCTCGGAACGAGATTTCAAAAGAGTTCTCCTTGATGAGGCGACAGTCTGTCGCCCCCGTTATCGATTTTGACATCGATCGGATCAAAGTTTTGGATATAATTGATAGAGTGGACAGCCTTAGCAACCTATAATCTGAATGTTATGGATGATCCAGTTGATTGATATGGTTAGCAGGCCATCTGCATCTCATGTTCTTGCTTGAGGGTTGACAAGCTCTGTAATATAAACCAGACTTGTTGAAAGAGAACGAGTGAATGTATTGTAAGTAATATTAGAGATGCCTATCATCATTGATTTGTGAAAATATACAAGGTGTCATTCAATCTTCATGCACAGAACATACTTAGTTAAATTAAAAGTACTTAAAATTCTTACTTCTCTTTTCTAGTGATGTCTTACATTTCCTCTTACCTTTTCTTATCTAATAGTAACTATAAGTCATAAGGTGGTCTTTTATGCATTTCATTCATCTTATCTCTGATAAAGGTTATATTTTTTTCTCATCTTTTCTGGAAATTACACACATTCGTCTCAATATTATCATTTTGACGACATATATTTTGTATATAATTTTATTTCTTAACTAATTAACACTTAGATCAAGATTTTATGGAAAGACAAATAAACTGGGATTTATCTAACCTGATAATACAAATATGGAGCCTATAACACACACAAGAATTACTAATCTCTACCAGGCTGCCCAACTAGAGCTTAAATTTCCTCAATCCAACTCTTGTTTGCTGTGTGGCGGAGGAAGGACCAATTATGTGTATCACTGCCCTCTACTGCCCATCGCTTGAAGATAAGCATTGCTGCCAAAAGTGACGCAACTCCATTGGCAGACTGCAAAGAGCTTTACGTTGCCTGCTCCCATCTTGCCTAGTAAAAGGCCGGAAGGCAGTGAGGCAGGCCATGCCTGCTTGCTGAAGCTTTAGTGCACACTGCAATGTCGAAGCCATCATGTCAGGGAACAGGTAAAGTGCATGACAATGGAGCGGTGTCTGCTCCCCCACATTGGCTGGTCTTTGTGGTCTTATATTTGATTGATGTCTTCTGTGTAACTCTGTCTTTATCTTTTTTTTTTCTTTGCTTTAGAAAAGAAAAGACTTTGTTCTCTTTATCGGAATATTAAATTAAACTTTAAATTCGATTAACACCTGGAAATGTCTGCACAACAAAGAGTATATATATATATATGTTCTTCCGAGAAAAGTTTAAGTTGGTATAGGGCTGGCTGCAAATGCATCTTAGAACTAAGAGAAACTTATAAAGAGATAGGTCACTTCAGAATTTGAGATGATGATGAACAAATTTTATGCTGATATCTTTTCTATGAATAACATGTTAAAGATGATTTTTTCGATATGTTCAAACTACTCAAATGTAGAGAAATGTCAAATATATTTCATTCCACAAAATAAATTTTCATAAGATAATAAGACTATGGTAAGCTAATAAGCTCTTTCTTATTTATCGTGAGAAATTATTCGCTTTAAATAGATCCATTATTGGTACAAACTCTTTTGAGTCACATATCATGAGAAATTCTTCACTGCATCCACACTAGTCATTCTAGTGTAAGCTCTTGGAGCCGTAAGAAATTATTTCTTTTAGGTATCTACACGATATGAGATATGAGATATGATTTCATCATTTTATGGTAGATCTAAAAAAATGTGGACTTTCGATTTTGTCCTTTCACGATAGATCCAAAAGACACCTACTTTTGGCTCTTTATTAGACATTAACTTTCCAACTCTCCAACCAATATAAAAATAAAATGACCTTATCACAGTACTACGATATGGTCTTCATGTTGATAAGCAACAATCACCATTTCCATATGGCGAATTAGAGTTCACACGACATTCATTGCATGTGTAAGAAGCTTAGCCGACCTATCATTTCCTTTTCTTATACACAGTGCAGCTACGTGACTTGAAGCACTCTCTTGTGGCCATGGTAGGTTGAGAAGATCCAAAAACCCTAATGCAACACATGAGTTTGTCAAGATCAGATTGAAGTCGCTTTCTCTCCTTTGGTCGTAGGGAATTCAATATGAACAGCAACACAAACATGGGAAAGGTGTCGAGACATGCTAAGCCCTACTTCCATGCTCAAGTGACTTCAACCAATACGCTGCAACTCCACTAGCTAGTTTACTTTGTACTGCCCAAGCAAACATGGTGGTGGACTCGGATGACAAGTGTGTTGTTCTTTGTCACAACCACTCCTACCCGATCAAACGATGGCAAGATATATATGTATGGCATTCTCAAAAGGCATGTGGAGAACAAGGAAGGTGTTGGGTGAGATGTGACTAATCCTCCTCATCGTCACGAGGCATGACAGAATGAGTAAGCTAGTGGGGATCGATGATGATGATGAGTGAGTTGGTTCCAACTCAACTCAATGACAATTGAGGTTCCTCGGGTCCAATCTGACGAAGTCATTTGGAGAGCTCTTTGAGCAGCTTATAGTATTTGTTGCCCACCGCACCGATGAGTGGGGGCAGTGTGAGACCATTCTTTGACACGTTCCTTCGTCTTCCTCAACACCGCCGCTGTGGCTTCTTTTTTGATGAAGCACGTCGGTCGTCGTTGCCCACCAAGAGGGGATGTATTGCATGGGGAGTGAAGCCACCATGCTCTTCCACGGAGGTCAATTGGCCTCCCTCTCTTCATCCACTACTAGCAAAAGGACACTGTGTTCTTTCCTTGTCGCTACACAGTACGTCCAGGAGGCTTGATGATGGCTCCAAAGGAGAGTCGAATCGTGTAGTGGCCGACGGCCCTTGTGCACTAGCAAAAGGAGACCGTGATATATATTTGGATCCAACAAAAGCAGGCATGAGCTGAGGACATCTTCTCAGACTCACTTTCTAGGGTTACAAAAGAAGAAACAAAAGCTCTTCAAACACACACACACACACACAAGTCAACTTTGTGTTTCATCTCTTATCTAATGAATTGATGGAAGTAAATGATCATTTCAGGCATGGACTTGACGATGGCCGGGGGAAGTCTTGGCCGTGGAAAGTGCAGTGGCACTGTCAAGATACATGTTCACTAATGGAGGGTCACAGTGAGAATCTGCTGAGTGAGTGTGTGTCGATGCTACCGATCACCTACAATGATGCATGTTCCATTCCATCATGTAACCTTAAAAAGTTAGAATGCAGCAGCTCTTCATGGCTTTCGCTCTGTGCGCTTCTGTTTTCCTTTTGCGAGAATACTGATGCCGGTTGACTGGTTTCAGCTCATCAGCTGCCTCTCCTCCTCATATATTTTCATGCTTTAGTCAACTGTGGCTTTGTTGAAAAGGAGCCACCTCGAACTTATTTTTCGGCCAATATTGGACCATCACAACCATCAAATCATGTAGCATTTTAGCACTTTATGTTAGGGTATATGTAGTGTTTGTATATATCATCTCTCTCTTCTCTCTCTCTCTCTCTCTCTCTCTACCTTGTCAAGGACCCAAGGGTCAGTTTGGATAACTCAGCATACGGGCTAGTCTGCCATCGCTCTCAGTTTTCTGTGTCATGAGGCCATATCAGAGTGGGACATCTAACATTGTCATCCCCTTATTTTGCTGACATTGTTTTCCTTCTTATCTTCGAAACAGTTTAGTGTCATTTCTTTCATAATTCTTATCTGATTAGAAGGAAAGAATTTTCATCGGTATCTCAATTTCGATTCAAATGCGAATTTGATTCACACTATATGTTCTCTAAAGAAACGCAACGTTGGCTAATGATAAATGTATTGAACCTTTCAAAAAGATAGTGCTTCTTCAAATCTCTCAAAATTCTTTTTCGGTGTTTAATTTGAGTTTATCATATACATGGATTGTGTATATATGAAAAAAAAATCCAAATATAGGAAGAAAATCATGTAATTTTGGGTTAGTGGTTAGATAAAAGTAATTCTAATGAGAGAGAGAGAGAGAGAGAGAGAAAAATAATTTAATCAAAGTGAGACTATATTGCAAACATTGATAATTTTGTTCGATCGATTTCCTAAATTTAATGAGTGCACTAATCAAAATCTAATGTCTACTTCTATCCATAAACCTCGACGAAAAGAAATATAAAAATCAATAATAAAAGAATTAATTTCTCTATTTTAGTTAGGAAGTCAAACACGACAAATCTAATATTTTCTATCTCGATTTCTTTTTATGCATTACGTTGAGCAAATTATCTTATATAACTTTTAGATTGACAAATTAAGATCTAGTAAACCAATGCATGCTTGCATGAGTTTGCAAGCAACTAACAAGCAATTAGGCATATCTTTCCAAGATTGATTCCTAAAGTTTTATAGATATAAGTTCTTGAGCTCCTCTTCACTTTATCTAATATGCTTGAAAAGAGAGAGAAGAATAGAGTGACTACTTATTTATCGAGGTGCAAATTCATCCTATGTTCTAACATAACTATTCATGCTCAAGTGAAATCAGTATATGTCTCATCCATCGTCATCCCAACATCTCAATCGACTTTGAGTGAGGAAACCTAAACCTAGGAATACAGAACCTCAACGTAGTGATGTGAGAGAGAAAGAGAGAGAGAGAATTCCATCTTATCCATTTGGTCACGGGTTGACAGAAACAATATTGATGGGAAAGAATAGGATAGGTAGGACGAAGTTTCCACCCATAGATGTGTGGGGGGAGTAAGAGAGCAGAGAAGGGAGGAAAAGGAAAGTAGATTAATGAGCTTTGTTTTGCTAAATTACAGCATCCATTGGTTGTTAAAATATGATATTGTTGTTAAGTGTCAATTTTGGTTATAAGTTAATATTATATTATTATCTCTAAATACTATCATAATCAAAATTAGGGATATATTGGATTTGGAGCAAAGTGAGATTTGGAGGTATAAGAAGATTTGGCCAAGCCTACGATATAACTTGTATGTTGGTAAAATTATCTTATATTTGAAAAGAGTTTCATTATCTAATCTCTATTTGAATGTTTTCCTTTCGAGACTCGATTATAAGACTACTTAAATCAACATTTGTTTAGCGAAAAAGACTCGAGGAGTTCATGAGTTCTAAGAATACAAAATAAGAATGTAGTTAGAGAAGTCTTTCTCTATAGTATTCATTTTGTAATGATCATCGATTGAAAAATATTAAATATATTAATAAAAATAAATTTTTAGATATTATTTTGATACGACACATATAGAGAATTTGTGTAATAAGTCTTGATTGATCCTCAATAATTGTCATACTTATATCTTGAAATGATAGTTTTCGGTGCTTATCGTAAGTAAGAAAATAATCAGAGACATAAAAATATTATTTTTGAACTTCGTTATAGTCTTTTCATTGCCATCGTGTAAAATTCGATGAACACATGTTTTTAGAAGGTTTGTATAAAAACATCGTATTCTATTTTTTTTTAGTACGTTATAGTGTTTTCCTAATATCATTAAAAATACTACGATATAGTGTAAAAACATTATAACGAGATCAATTCATCTTATCGATCGCTCCATAGGAAAAGAAAGAAAAATCGAGAGACGATCGGGTGTCAAGTTAGACTATTTTAAGTATTAGATAAAAAATTTTATTCTGAGAATTTTGAAAAAAAATTAATATTCTCTATCCCTTTCTATTATTGATAATATCTTAAAATAATAAAATATTATTTTATTATTTATAATCCTCCTATTATTAATTTTTGTTTCTTTCTCACAACCTCACATTCTTGTCGATGTCACCCATAGCGATTATAAATAGTAATATTCTCATGGAAACGAAAATATTTTTCGAGGAAAAGTAGAAAAAGAGAGTTTTTTTTTAAATTGTTATTAAAAAAATGGTCAAATGACTGTACCAAAATTGATCAGACATCCTACCGAATTATTGGTATTGACAATAAACACACTATTCCTGACAATTGGCATAAACTTGACATGACGACAGTATGACTACGACATGACGATGATAGTCGAATACCATGTTCTTTGCATGTCATCGCGTCCTTGTCACCATCAAAGCATCTTCGTATTATTTGTTCCCCACATGAGCACAATTTAGTCCTTTGAAATGTTCCATACGTCCAAGCAAATATATAACTGGGTTTAGATTGTTCCAAGTCTAATGCTAGCCAAGAAGAACTTATCGCTCCATAAATCTATTATTATCTTTGATGGATACAAATTCATCGTGTCGTGAATTCGACTTGTACGAAAATAAATCTCATGCACTATACATAAACAAAATGTCAAATTGAGTCGTGCAAGTTTATATTAGGGTTGATGTGCTTGTTGAAAAAGAAAGAGAATAATAATGAAATGACTACACGATCAAATGCTTAAGCCATAATACACCATCATCTTTCATGAGATCGAATGATGAAGAAAACATGAAAAAGAATGAGAAAGCAACGTTGGATTCAAGAGGAGGCGAAAGTCAACATTGACATTTTCCTCATGAAAGATAATTCGACAGCAAGAATTCTCGAGAGGATTTGACATTATGCTTGTCACTAGGTTGAAGCATCGCTAATGCAAGTATGATTGATTGGCTCGGATGGGACGATCCATCTTTATCTGAAGAAGAAGGATTCGAAATGATAAGTATCCCTCTACATATCTTTAGCTACTCCCTTTTCTCACGTACATCATGTAGACTTGGCTTAGTCAAACATATGTCACCTCACAATCCAAAAAATAATGATGCTTGGAAACGAATCATGGATTGCATCAAAAACATAACTCGGTGCATAATGCTAATTTTGTATCGCAATGGGATTATCATCATCGATATATACCTCATGTGAGCTAAGCAATATGTCACGTAATTCGAAAAAGTCATCAAGAACATCTTAACTCTTAGTCAACAAACACATATTTCTAGAGATAAAAAATAGAGTGACAAACTTTGAGAGATCCAAAATAATTGGATGTTATGGGTGTTAATTTCTTCTTTTCTTTGATCTTCGTAAATACCATCAGTGTATCGATAGAAACATTCATGCGTATAAGAGATGAACTAAGATAAACTAAAAGAATAGACTGAGGTTGGAAAGAATCAAAAGAATTAAATTATATATAATGAGTTTAGTTTAGAAACTGATTAGTTTAAGTGTTTAGATTGAATTGATGTCGAATCCGATATATATTTAACTGTGACTGAATCTGACTGATCATTATTTGATTTCTAATATGCCAAAGAGTGACCAAAGTGTGCGCCACACATCTTTGACCTCCACAGAATCACAGAACCACAAGTACGTTGAACCAATTGCTCTCTTCCAAAGAAAGAATCTGCACACAGTTTGCTCGAACTTGTCGTGTGCTAAACGAGCACAAAAGTCGTTCCCATCATGTCCATGGTGGTACTGTCATTGCCTACAAGGAAGAAAATAGCAAGAATTATGGTCATATAAATTCAAACTCTCTCTCTCTCTCTCTCACACGCTCACACACAAACACATTGATGTTTGTATGAGGTTAGTGCAGACCAGCAAAGGGAGGCGAAGACAACAGAGGGCTGCAGTAGGCTGTCATGCCAATTCCGTGGAGATCTCCGCTCGTATATTCCTTGCTGCTTTTAGAAGCAAAAGGCCAAAGTTTATTGTAGCAGCAATGTTGATCCTTTGGCCTCACGCTTGTCCTTCCTCATGCAACTAAGTGGGTGGGTGGGTGGGTACGTGGCTTAACGAGAAGCTGCCGTGGACCTCCCCTTCCTGTCTCTTTCCCTTCTTTTTCTGCACTCCTCGAGATCCCGCGTGTGTTGCGGTCCTTCTCGTGAATGTACTGAGGGTGGACAAGGTTAGGGTTGATGATGTCCAACACTTTGCAAATACAGTGAACTGGTCGATGCTCAGAAAAGATATTTTGGAGTCCAAAGAAACACCAGTTTAATGGCGTCAGTAATGGCATCTTTGATGTGCAGATATATATCTGAAGGATTATTCTTCACACAGTTGTTCAGCCAAAAGGAAACAACACCTTGTGCCCTAAGAGAGAGAGAGAGAGAGAGAGAGAGAGAGAGAGAGAGAGAGAGA